ACACATCTATGTTAGTACCTAACTACACAATATTGTGTATACTAAAGCAAGTACATTTTTGGAAAAAATGAACGAAACTAAACAATATTCTTCAGTTAGTGAAATCGTTTATCATATTACATGAATGTAAAGAGGTCAACATTCAATTTTTTTATTTTTATCAGATTTGACGACAATTCTACAAATGCTTAAATATTTGATATAATATTGCTCAATATAAATTGAACTTTGTAAGATGCCGTGATCAGGTTGAACGTTGTAATGTCGTAATTCTTGTTTGTATAATATATTGCTAAAAGTATCGAATTTACGATACAAATCGTTACAAACCCAAATAATAACAATTAGGTAAGTAATTGATTTTATATTAAATTCAGAAAATTTTGAATTTAAATTTATCGACATCATAATATTTGTATTATTATTATTGTATCACTCATTACATAAGTACCTATTTTTAATTACGATTCTCGGCAATAATCGATTGGATAAATCTTTTTTTTATTTTTTTTTTAGACGTGATTATTTTTATTAACTATATTTGATATTATTTCTCTATGCCACTAAAAACAGACAACGACTTTTCAAAATTCAATTATAATAAAAATATAATTTTCTCATAGTATAATATATTTTTAATCGAAATAATATTTTTCTCAAATGAACATTAGGTACCTAATAATAGTTTACGTATTATATTTTAACTATGGGAGCCTGATCATTTAATTATATAGCGGCGTGTACAATAATTTTAAATAAGAGGCGATATTGTTAATGATAAACATGATTAGTATATAAAGCAGAGGATATGTGGGTCTAAAGAAGCACTGAATACGCAAGCACGTATGCACTTACAAACCCTAAAATGTTCATTAAAAATAAGTTCTACACGTTTTTTTTAGCAATTTTATTAAAAAATAGCTAATCAAAGATATATTGACTTGTTTAATTATATGACATATCATTATTAAATAAAACAGATTTGTTTTCTTTATGAAACTTTTACTTTTTATTGATTTAATTAAGTAGACATAATAGATTGATTTTTATATATATTTAATTCGACGTTCCTTCTTCTAACACAAAAAAGTAACATTTCCATTGTATTAATTTATGATTTTATGAATGAATATATTCAATTTATGTTATTTTTTAAGATAATTTGAAAAATCTCGAAAAAGCTTGCAAAATAAAAATACCTGTCTAAATATTCAAAAATATGCAGTATACAATTATAGATTTTGCTTTGTTATAAAATAATAAAAATTTCTTTCAAATTGACTTTCTTTTTTTTTTTTACAACTGTGTAAAATAAATTTGCAAACGCTAGAAGTTCTCTGGCCTTTTCATGGATATACCGTAGAATTGTCTTCTAATATACTTGACCCAACAATGAGCATTTAAAGCCAGATTTAAAAAGGCGTTATTTTTCAAATATCTAATCAACTTTTTTCCCTTTGATTTGGCTAGAATACGTAGTTTCAAGATTAAATCCCTAAATGAATACCATCGTAGTTATTGTATTTTTAAGCCAATGTGCAGGAGGGATATAATATATAACTCCTGACCTCCCGTACACACACGTCAGTAAAAAAATTGTCTAATATTCCATTCCACATGATCGTCTTAATAGTCGTTACAAACCTTATATATATTATACACAAAGTTATACGTTGTTTTCGTCAAATAATTTTGCCGGAGCGTTTTAAATATTATAATTGTTTATAATTTACGACATTTGAATGCATTAAAATTAATTTATATTATCATCATTCTGGTGGAGCTATGTGATAGGATTCATTTCATAGGCTGAATAAAATATATTGTTTGTTTGAAACCATGGCCAATATGAGAGGTTTTAATGATTTTACTCTGAAATCACGATAACATGTTATATATTATAATAGTTTGTGTGTTTTTAAAAGCCGTTTAAATTAATAACAATAATATGTAAGATACACGCAAACTCGGCGCAATATTATTCATCTTCCTCGTCCAGATCGGTGTTTATCACTTTTAATGTTTCACAACTTCACCGAAAAATATTCAATATGCATCCATCTAAATACGTTCTGCTATAGTTAAATAGTCATGGAAAGTTTTCGGTTTTTAGTCGTGGGAAATTACACATGATATTATTCCTGCCATATCCGTATATTACGTACGAGCTCGTCGCGATATTTATGAAATCTAAACTTTAGTAGTAATAAAATCATCGTAGGTTTTGAATCTGTTATTAATTATTATCTGTACCCGAGTAGTGGCGAAACTAGTATGTATCGTAAAAAACGTCTTTGTGGAATTCTACAGAACATTGGCAGTCTTTTTTTTATTTCGACGAATTCATAATATATTCGATTAACGAATTATAACGGCGAATTATAAAGCTCTCTTTATTTAAACGTACAAAATATATGTTCGTCTTATACTGACCTACTCCATCTCAGCATATAGACTTAAAATATCTCCGACTGATTGATCATCCACCGAAGTCCACTTACTCCATCATTCGATGCAAAATCACCAATCTCCCCCGGCACATAAGCGACTACAATGGAATTGACTAATATCAGAATGTAACGTTGTGGGAATATCATTCCACTTCACTTATTTCCAATCTTCAAGCAATCACATACTTAGGGGAGGGGCATCTGGACACCATTACTTCTCGGAAAACTTGTCACCCGAAGGTCTATTATTTTCAACTCGATAGTTTTGTCAAATGTACACAGCTCGACAAAACTACGTTGTTCATGTACGATTGAACTTAAAGCTTTTATGCGAACTGCAGGCGTAACCACCGCGAAGTATAGATACGGATTTATCGTGGAAAATTCAAATTACTCGCTGTACAGCTGACGCATGCTTAAATAACCGCGCCTAGTTCGAAACTCGGACATACGTATCCTTTGAGAATATTATTAATAATACGCATTTTAAATACCGTATACCGACCGTGTTTATGATGACCGTGACAAAACAGATATAGGAACGATCGTAGTGTGTCACGTTTTCGTTCGGCGTTCGCATCTCATACAAGCCAATTATACAGTTTTTCACTACTATCGGCAATGCACTTACGTTGGCCAATGCGAAGCGGAGAACAATGGTGGTAATTCGAGGTCTGAGTGAAATGCAGAATGTATATTTGAGAGGGGCGTGTGTATAGAAAAAAAAAAAAAAATGCTGCGACCGTACCTGTATCTATTTCGTCACGATGACGTCGGTGCTGTTTCGGTAACGTAACAAATGACATTGGACAACGATATGTGTATAGGCGATATTCATTATACACGGCAATAAATAAATATTGCGCGGTCGTCGAAACGAAATTAATAACGATATATTAATAATACGCGAAAACGAGAATAACAATTTTTTAAAACGTCACAAAGTTATAATTGGGCTGACCCGTACCGCGGTGGCGTATAATACTGCGCCGCGGTATATTATATTTCCATATACGTGTTTTGGTTTTTTTTTTTTAACTATTAGTTTGTAAATTTCTGTAAATGAAAAATGTACACCGCTAACTCACGACGCGATATAAAGGCAATATATCGATATAAATATATATAATTTTTTAACACCCACTGCCGTTATTAAACGTATAATAGTATAATTAATAGGTCGTATTTAGTGCGAAGGGTCAAACGCAGGGGCCGATTTCCGCACGGGCGGCTGGTATATACGTATATTGGTCCCTATTTAAAAATAATAAATATATAACAAGTGGCAATTAATACAATTCACAAACACCGTATCGTTGATAACGTTTATTTATATATATATATATATATATATGTATATGTATATGTGTTTTAATGCCCTAATGCAAAACTGAATTTTAATATTCCCTTGAAAAAAAAAAAGAAAAAAAAAAAAAGCCATTTATAAAGGTAGCAGCTACCTGCAGCGTATGGACGCGTATTATTTTCGTGGAGTGTCGCGTTCATCTCACTCGGCGCTACCGTTTTTATTCAATTTAATAACGGACCCCGCAATATTAATAAATTAGACTGCGCGCTGCGGTCGGATCGCGGTGTAATAAAACCCAAAAAATATTCGATACGGTCGAGATAAAAAAAAAAAAATCGCGAACCGACCGACACTTTCTTACTATGTAAAACGAACGTCCCGTCGGCAGTTTGCAGGCCTAATCTCTGATTTTCTGTCGAAAACTAGCAATCGAATATAATTTTTCGATCGAATGTGTATTCTCTGACCGTAATCGAATATAAGGATTGGAAATCGTAAATATTATTTTTCGATCGGGTTTTTTTTTTTTTTTTTTTTGATTGCTGAATCGCTATTGTCTCTAAAACAAACTTTATCTCCACGAGTCGATTCTTAACATTACCTAGAAGAACTAATCGTGAACCACATCATTGATTGTGAACAAGAAGGAAAGTTAATATTTTTAAAATTTTAAAATTATGGGATTTTTTTCGGCCATTAATGTTGAAAAAATTCGTTTATTGACCCGAGTGAAATTCGATCATTACCGGTTTTAGACCCGAGTGCAGTTCACCGTGATCTTAAACTCTAGTGCAGATGTTAAATATGAGTTCGAATTCTTCGAATAACATACTCAACTGTGCCCTCTTATTGACGTTCCTTTTATTCGACTGCATGAAAACGTGCGCATGAGTATTATACTTGGGTCTTCGAGATACCGTTAGAATATGATAAATTCTTGATAGTACTTTAAAACATAACAATTTTGTCTGCAAATAATATTATTATATGATTTAGACAGTACGCCGCGGACACTTCATTAGAATTCTGCGTTTTATGTCAACCGCGGAATGGCCCTTCAAACACGATTAGTTCCACGAGTGCATCATTTTGGCAATCTGAGATGACCTTACTCGCGAATTACCACACTGCCTTGCGCCCGAACGATAACACTGTAATGATTATTTATATTCGAATGGTCTGTTCGAGCGCTGCCTCGTAACTATCGTCACATTAAAGAAATCGCCGCTAATCGATTTTCCGCGACTAGACGAGACGTTTTTACGTCAACACATGTACATGAAAATGTGCACGTTTCTTCGCGAAAGAGCACGCGGTTTTTCGAATTATTTGTTCTATCCGGCCGTACTTGCTTAAGGGTGCATCCAGTATCCCGGCTGACGTTTGTTTTCTCTGTCTGTTTCACGCGCACAATACAACTACCAAAAGACATTGCTCCGTTCTTAAATCGTCGGGAATCTCTGTGGTTGAGTTTGGAACAAAGGAACAAAATATTATTTATATTTTATAAATAGCCGTGTTTCCAATGTCCTATGGCCGAAAGAGTTTTTCAATAACGAACAGCAATCTTAACTAGAAATTAAGTTAAATTAAAACACGCGTAATATTTTGATCATTGCATCCAGGCTTGAAGAATCCACTGATATTTATAAAAACCTATGATAGTTTCTATTGCTCTAATCTCGATCGGAGAATCACAATAGTTGAGTTGCGGAGTATTACGTCCGATACGGACAGAGAAAACAAACGGTATCACGATGTGACGTTGTCCGTTTAAATGGTTTTATTTTTTATTCGTTTTTGCGTATTTTTAGACGAATATAAAAAAATAAATCCAAACGAACGCGCTAATGGTCCTAATATTAATATAAATTATTTAATCGAAAGCTCGTCGGTCATCAATACGAATCTTGCGTTAAGAGGGATGAAGAAAAGCAACATCACGAACCCTCGTTTAGTAAAAAAAATATATTTCCTATCGTTATTCGATTATGTTTTTTTTTTTTTTTTTTTTATAATAACAGCTGGCGTTTATGTGTATTATTAATATTATAATAATATTGAATAGTAATTTTAAGGTTCAGTTTTTTTTTTATTTTTTTTTTTTTTTCCAGTTGCTCGCAGTAAATGTTAATTTCAAAAATCCCGGAGGTTGTGTTGGTCGTTATTATTATTATTATTATTATTTTTTCTTTTTTTTGCGGATGTGATAATTATAAATGCATTCGATAAACAATTTTGCACAGGCCGAGTTCAAAATTAAAATATAACCGCTCGTTGTTGACGTTTTTTCCGGTAGTTGTTCGTAATATTTCCCAGGCCTCGAAAAATAACCTTTTCTAAAGTACCACGTGCGCTCAATCGCCCGTCTAGAAAGTTACCGTATAAAACTTTTTCAGTGCGTGTATTGCCGCCTCCGAAGAGCAGTTAACCGATAAACAAAAAAAAAAAAAAAAACCTACACCATTCTAAAACTAATATAACGGCCCGTTCGGATGTAATTTTTATTATGATGCACACGATACACACGGGGGAAAAAAATAGAACACATCGCTGTAAATCAAAAAAAAAAAAAAAAATAAAAATAAATAAAACAAACTTATCCCGATAAGCGCTTAATCGGTGCTGCGTATATCAAACAATTTCTAAGCGGGAAAAACACTACAGTGGTCTACGCGAATCTCGGGAACACATATAACCGTTTCTTGAAAAATGCAGAGTACAAAATATTTAAAAATAAAATGTTCATATAGCTTATGGATACCGTAATATTGTGAGTGGGTAGAGGTGGTCGGATATACAGGCCAATTTGGTTTATACAATTTAAATCATTACAAACGAATAAACTATGCCGTGCAGATTAAATATTAACCTTGCTTTTTCCTTAGTTTCTAATAAAGAACGACAATAATCCGGTCTTGTAAAAAGTATCAAAAGTCTTGAGTAAAATAATTTAAGTAAATTTAATTAAATACTATTTGAATTAAGTATTTGGAAAGTATTTTAAATACTGTTTTAGACGCATTTGTATTTTAATTTCAAATACCTCCACGTAAATACTTTTCTTAATAATTCCTTGTTGTAATTAAATATTTAAAGAAATAAAAAATAAAACATTATAATTTATATTTCGTGGTTTGGATCTTGTGATGTCATCTTCATCATGGATCGAGGAAAACAAAGTCAGAAAATCACGAATTGACTATGTACTGATGAATGAGATAGGAATTAAACTTATATGGAAAGTTTTCGACGAAAATTTTAATATTAACACATTGATAAAATCAGCTGCTTAAGTTTAGGAGTTAACTTTTAACATTTTAATAATGATTATTGCATGATAAATTTATAATTCCTAATTCATTAAAATGTTTTTAATTCATTCAAAGCAAAAAATTATTTCAGAATTAACATACAACACATTTTATTTATTTGCATTGTTCAGTATAAAATGGAGTAGGTGATACTAAGTTCTAATAATAGTTACTTAAATAGAAAATTCAAAATTAATTTTGCCAACATACTTAAATTATTTTAGTTATTTTTATTAAGGTAAATTAAAATAAGTATTTGAGAAGTATTTAAACACATGCAGAGTATTTATAATTATACTTAAATCCTTTCCGATTGGATATATTTGTACCTGTATTCGAATATAATTTGAAAATTATATTTTACAAGGTTGCATGTATTAAGAAAAATCAAAAAATATGACTTGTGCAGTAAAGTGCTGAAAATGTTGATAAATGATTCAAAATAAAGTATCATTTTTTGAAGCACTGCGTGGGCAAATATAATAAGGTTTTAACCTAAAAAAAAAAAATCCATAGAGACTTATGTTTTGGAAAAAGTAATGAAAATTTCGAAAAACCTCTACAAAAATAGTTTTTTACTACAACTGTAATTAAAGTTTGATTGTATGCTATTTTAAGTGTGTCTAAACTGTACGAATATTCTAAACGTTACAGATTGAAATACTCTCAGATTTAAAAATAAAAAAAAAATATTGGAAAACTCGACAACACTATTCTTCCACTAGACATTGTTTAATCGTGTAATTTTTCTTACAATATATTATATTGTTAAATTCCTGCACTCGTCTGGCGCAAATAATATTATTATTTAAGTTTACCGTTGAAATAGGAAAATTTGTGTTGGCAGATATCGACCGAATGTTTTTTTTTTTTTTTTTTTATTTATGAAATGTGTAATAAATGACGGATATACAGGTAACCAAATAGATACGTTATAATAAAGTTTTCGGTGCGACGATGAAAACGGAAATACAAAATACAATTACCTGATTCGAAATAGGATGTAATACTGTACCCACTACGCTTCAAGCCAAAAAAAGTTTAAAAACGTTAATTGGAATTCTCTAAACTGTTATGTTGTTGGTTTCGTTAAAATTTTCATTTATATAGTAAAATAAAATATAGGTAGGAGGTAAAAGTATTAAAATATAATCCGGAGATCCGGTCGCAGTTTTCAAATTTAACGCTCGTCTCTGCAGTTTTGTTTGCAACTATAGTTATTTAAAAAAAAAAAAAAAAATAATATTAACAAAAAATGGCACTGCTAAATAAATATATATGAAAATTCCAATTATAAAATATAACATCATTTTTGAATTGGTTAATGAATTTTAAAAGCTAAATTTCTGAAACGCCCATTTCGGTTAACGTGAATATATAGCTAGGGGTGGAAATCAATAATACTATCAACAATAATATTATTTGGTTCCCCGCTGATTTAGAACGAAATACCGAAAACTATAATTTAGGGCGCGTCATAAATGATAACTCCAACGAGTAAATGTAAACGATTTTAATCGTTCATAAAAAAACAGAATATACGATAAATCTCATGGAAAAATTCCTCATCTGTACGGTGTGGAATTTTTAATATTTATCATCAAAATATTTTTCAGAAGTATTTTTTAAAAAAAAAAAACACGCCTACATACGATACAATCGTACTATTGGTCACTTCTAAGTAGCTAAACTAACGAATTATTCGTTTTTAATTTTTCGCAAAATAATAATTCACGAAAGTTTTCGACTGGACAATAAAAGATGGCCTAAAAATATAAAAGAGTCTAATAATAAAGCGGTGATATCATCTATACGAGAGAGGGAAAGAGTTTCAAACTATGTACAAGGTGGTCAACATAACGCAAGACATACATATAACGTTTCCAAAATTTTCAATCCACGGTTTTACCTTATTCGTCCGTCTTAACTCGGTTTTACGCGGCTACAAGTGTTAAAATGCGAATATTCTTCCGTTCATTTCATTGTATTTCATTTATTATTGAACGACAAGAGTGCATTTTAATAATTATGCATTGAAAACGGAAATTAAAAAAAGATTTGTTCGCACAAAATAAAAACGAAACGAATCAATACAAATAATATCTTTTTCATTATAAATACAATCGAAAAATGTGTATTTATTTTATGTTCAAAATATGTTGCAATTAAATCGTACGTCAGCTGATAATGAGAATTGCGAATACGGAAAAAAATAATAATATTTCGATCATTTTCGAATCGTATTTCTTGTTTTCAAATGTTCGTTCAAGATAGTTTTCCGTTCCAAATAGATTATTTTTTTTCATTCCGTCATCTTGGCTCTTATCGAAAATAATGATTTCCTATATTATAGATACATGCATGTGTGTTTAAAATAACAAAATATGACGTAAACCTGCAACTCTATTATTAAACATTCATAAGACTATAATATGAAATACCAGCTGATATTTTTGCCGAATTTCAAAATGTAAAACGGCATCCTCAGCTTATAGGGAAGACAAATGGTTAAAAAAAAAACCACTGGAAAAACAGAGCCGAGTTAAAGCAAGGTGCTCACCTAATGTCCAAAAGATCGGCTAACGGTTTATTTAACATTATACCGTTTCTGGACATTCTCTCAGGGTGTATTATTATCGTGTGCAATATTATATCGAATTTATCCAATCGCGAGTAATAGTATTAGGTTTTTTTTTTTTTTAGTTCTCCGAACGAATAACACTGCATAGTCTTCGATGATCGATTGGTTATTTAATTCCGTTTGTAATACTTCGCAACTATTATATTATTATGGAGTCAAACCGAAAAAAGGTTTTTGCGTTCTATATTTTGTAATAACATTATAATAGTTACCTCTTTTGCACGAATACATTATGCTCATGTTGCGCGCTGTTATTTGAGCGTTCACCGAAAATAACCCAAGACGACTAGGTGTGACGTTATTAAATTATACTTAACATAATCAAATATAATCAAACCACAGTGTGGTATAATAATCATAGACTAATGTTTAAACGGAGAATTTCTGCAATGGTGAATTCAGAGGGAGGGATTGGTGGATCACGCCCCCTTTGGAATTTCTGTCACTTTATATGGTACCTTATTATTATAGAACAAAATTTGTAATAATATTGTCACACAGATATATATTTTAAAATTTAAATATAAAATTTAAAAATCAAATCCATTTAAACATAAACTGTTGAAATACGAGAGGTTATGGGCAATTGTTTCAATGAAAAACATCAAAATACTGCACTTTTTCCGTACCGAATAGTGTTTTAATTTTTCAACAAGGACGGCATGTAGAAGTTCAACCTCATGGCTAATGCCACCCCCGTAGATTCGGAATTCGCCTGAATGATGACGTAACCGACATTTATACCAGTGTACATACGCGCATGCGCATATGCATTTTGTACCATAATGGCCTGTCGTGTATTACCTACTTGTTTTGTTTTTAGCATTTTCAATAGAGTTAGTTAATATCCAAAATTTTAGTATTTATAAGACGCACAAAAAATAATAAAAAAAAGAAAACGTGTAAAACCTCTTGAAAACACGATATAAAAAAGAATGTATACATAAAACAACCTCTAAAGTTATATACGACATTTTATAGCATAAAATGAATATTATATTATACTACGCAAGGTTGGGTTTTTATTTTTTTTTTTATATAGGTATAACCAAATCATTTAGTAATAATATTTCGGTGCGTATATTTTGGCATTTGTGTGTGAAATAAAAAAAATGGTTTAATACGCTATTCCAAAGAAGTTACGAGTCGGCAATTTAATCGGCGGTTGAGACTCGCGCTATAATTCAAAAAAAAAAAAATATGTAACGATAATAATAACCGACTGAGTCTTTATGGTTTTTATTTTTTCGTATTATTATTATCATCATATTATAATCAATCATTTTTTCGGTACTGAAATCTCAACAACAGACACGGACTTTTTAAATGTGCTCGGTGTAATGTATATATTTTAAATTTTTTTTCCGCGAAAAAGTCCAGCTATAATAATAAGAATAATATTGTCTCGACAAATGTAAAATAGAAAAAAAAATTATCAATTTCAAAGAAAAATAATAGCATTACTGCGTGCCTAACTGAGAGATGAAAGCTCAATTTAAAAACAGAGCTGATACTACTGATGGGTGTGCCACTGTTGTACATACGGAGTTGGAAAAGTAGTCTCATTTATAATATATGTACGCGAAGATAAATCATTGCTGACAAAATACCAAACTAAGTGAAGTTCGGTTAAACATGCTTTATGTTGTCGTGATTTTTACGATTTTCGTCAACATTTTAATGTGAATGTTTCTGAAAAAAAAAAATATTTCAAGTAACCTAATTGTTATTCGTTCAATTTTTTTATTTTTTTTTTTTAAATATAACATGAAAAATCTTGTATTTTTTTTTTCAAACATTACGTCTTGGCCAAAAAAATGATATTCGCGTACACGTTATTACGTGATATTTACGATTTCCGTTTAAAATTGAAATTTTAACTCGTATGTAAAAAAAAAAACTACCACACCATGCAAAACTTTTTTGTTTTGATCATCAAGTACAACATATGTTGAATCTCCTGTAAAATAATCAAACACTTCTGATATCGAGAACAATTTTATCCGCACCGCATTAAACCAAATGAAAATTCGAAATTGTCACGTGTCTATAATAAAGATATGTCAAAAATTGCCAAAATACTTTGAAATTTATACCATTTTTGAAATAAGCCAACATGTGCAATTTGTGGAAATTGTAAGGTCTTTATAATTAGTTTTAATCGAATTACTACTAAAATACATTATTTAAAATGATGAAACCATTATTTCTGTAAACTCTCCCGCAATTGATACATTTCTCCAGATACATTTAAACAACTACAAAAAAAATCAAAAAATGTCTTCCTGATTCACCAAAAAGATATAATTTTCTCTCTGAAAAGATGCTGCAAAATTGTTTGAAGAAAACAAAATTCAAAAATATTTGAACTTTTATTGCAATAGATTTGTTCGTTATCCCTATCTATTTTTCTCGGTTTTTTCACATATCATTGAAGTTGCTTAGAAAATAAAATATTACCTCTTCAATACATTAACTAGATCCGAATTCCCACCAAACTAATATCTTGTCTTTTATTTTAATTGGACCAACAAAATTCTTTATTGAATAGCCTAGTTATTTTTTTTTTTTTTTGTCAGCAAGCCAGGAGAGTTTAACTTTAAAAACAGAAGTAAAATCTCTAAAACTTTACGGACTTAAACACGTGACATAAATTTCCAAAATGTTCTGTCATTTTAATAAATTATGACTATTTGAAACTGTCTACTTTTTTTTTAGTGTGTTTATCGTTTTATGTAAATAAAAATTCATTGGTTTTACAAAAATTCTCGAAACTTTATTACATTATGGTCAAATATGTTATTGATATAAATTGTCTCTAATGATTTTCAGACAGGCCTTGGATAAAGATTTTAGGTCAGACTATCAGCTCTGTACGTTTCTATGTCACAGTAATTAATTCACTATTGTTAATGGGGAAAAAAAAAAAAAAGAATAACCGAACCGATACCCTCGAAGTCGCGACGCAATCAGATCGTTGTCGTGTCGAACAAAATGTGTTATATTTTGTACTTACCAGTGGCATATTTAATGGGGGAGATTTATTACCCCCTTAATCTGTTTTTATTATCTAATATTGATGATAACATGATATTTCCTTTGTTATTTGTATAAATTCAAAATGTCTTTACTTTTTAAACCAAAATATCCGAAATGTGTTGGTACGTATGGGTACTTATAATGAATGCGTTTTAAATGAAATCCTTCCCAACTACTGTAATATGATGAGATACCTACCTAAATGGTATGGTTAATAACTAAAAATAATTACTAATACCTTGAATTTAATTTAATTTTAATTATACATTACTTACAAAAGCTTATAAATTATTGAAAATTGGTCTGTTTTAATATCTATCTTTAGTATATTTTCAAGCGTTACACAATGTGGCACAAATCTTATATCTTCTTCCTTGACGAAATGCTGAATACGTCTGAGTTGCTCACAGCAACAACATTGCAATTATTATTATCGCTATCATTCGGGAATCGCGACAGTATTCCCGACTCATTCTCCATCCGGACCTTGCTCTTGCGTGTGGCGAACAAGGGGACAGGGACGAGGAGGACGCTGTTGGTAATGAATTTCCATTTTATATAATTGAAACAATAAAAACGCGGCCGAGACGATGGCAAGCAGGCCGCACTGGCGCCACGGTTCTTCTTTTTTTCCGGCAGACTGGCGTTTGGCCAACTTAAGTACTATGTTATTATCGTTATATGTTCGGCATCGGCCGCAAAAGGCGAAAGGTTTCCGCGGCGGAAGCGTCGAGAGTGTATATTATTATATTGTTCATCTGTGTGCGAATGCGATTCGCGAATTACCACAGCCCTGGGTCGTGTCAATCATATTATTAATAGCAAAGCGATTGTTTCGGCAGAAGAAAGTATTCGATCATAATAATTATTGTACAGTCGGAACATTAGGTGCGGAAAATTGTTCCGGAACTTCAAGGTGGATCGAGTTGATGAAAACAATTACATTGCATTAACTAAGTGAAGTTAATTGAAAAACAAGTTAACGCGTTAAAAGTTAATATAACATATAAAATATCTTGTAAAGTAAAAAAGAACTGTACCTGATCAAAGAGCTTAGAAATGATGGAACTTTAATTTGTTTAAATAACTATAGTATAAAAAAAATGAAAATTAAAGTTTGGTTACAAACTTATTAAAATAATGATCACCAATTTAATGTTATAACTGTCACCGTTCTTAGAAAAATATTTACCATTCAGTGTATTTTGAACAACACCCACAAAAACTATTTAAGATTTTGACTATATTATTATAAAGAACACAAACACAGAATAAAATGCAACGATTAAAAAAAAAAAAAAATTAATATTATCATTTTATTTACTACCATAAACGCATTTCATTTTATTTTTGTAATTATAATATCAACTTTTTGATCAGGAAATATTGTTTATTGTACAGTAAGACAACTGTCGTATTTGTTTGATGTTTTTGTATTGGTTTTGGAGTGAGTTGCTACTAGTGTTACAATTCTTGTCCCGTGTTTCAATTATACCCAATTTTTCCCAACCTACTAAATAAAAATTGCGTACAAAAAATACTAGCCAAAATGCATATAAATAGCTCAATAATCGCATAAATATTTTGAAAATTTGACGTTTTCTACCAGTTTTGCTCAGACATTATGAGAACTGCTTGGAAAATAAAAGAACGACACTCATTCCGCAACAAGATAATTTGACATATATTTAGATAAAAACAATATTTCTGTTAGAAAACATAGCGCGTAAAAATGAAAAATAATGAAATCAGTAACACTATGGTACGCCGTAAATATTTGCCGTTTTTCCAATAATTTTGTTTTCGATTTTACCCAATTATTTTTAAAACCATCGGAAAAATCGAAAAATAACTTTTTAAAAACACCAACTAATTCCAAAATGCAACAAAAAAGGTATTTTATCATTTTCCGATTGGAACATGTTTTCTGTTCAAAAAGTTGTTAAAAAAAAATAATACTCACATCATATAGTAAAACCAATAAATCCCTTGCCCCGCTACTGAATATGGAATACATTTATCATATATTTATAAGACACTGCACAACACAATTCATAAGAAAACAATTGAAATAACAAAATTGTACTTTATTATTTTTTTTTTTTTCTTTTCGAGATAATTTTATCATTTGTCTAACTACCGCCCGGCGCCCGCAGATTGCTAACCATATACTCGTATAGTGTCTAGCGAAATGAGTTTATGACCGGGTTCACCGGTTTTTTCGGAAATTGCGGGTCTTCTCGTTCTCAAAACTATAAATTACAAATAATTAACGATGTTCTCGAGGAAGCGATGAGGTTTGGTATTATATCTCCACCAAATGGCAAACAAAATTAAAAAAAAAAAACTTACAAGTAATTTAATATCGAAATGCATAATATATTTCAGCCAAGATACGTGAAAAAGCTTAACGTATCAATCAGATATTTTTTTTTATTATTTTTTTTTTTTTTTAGGATCCGGTTTTTAAATTACCATTTTCCATAGACGAGTGGCGTAGAAAATGTGACTTTACGAATTTTTTTTTCGCCACGTCCCCTCCCATCAAAAATTCTCGGACATGCCACCGCAAATGACGATTACAGATCGCGGGAAGCAGCAGTGCGGTCCGCGAAGGATCGGGATCGTGGGTGCACGTACCTTCACCAGCTCTACAGGGAACCCGCGACGGCGTTGGGCCGCATAGAGGCGGTGCTCTATTCCCGACAGCTAATAACTCTGGCATCAACCTACTCGCGTGACCCCGAATATCTCACACCCGGACAATTCCTGGCAGACCGACCGTGCAGGGATGAGATGTTTTATTTTATGATTATTATTATTATTTTTTTTTTTTTTTTAACAATAGTTTATATCTTGTATTTACCGGGTACAGTCACAGCTTATTATATGTATAACTTATCGTGTTTTATTTGTACGGTGTAATTTTCTATAGTATATTACCGCCGTCCTGCATCGAATTTTTACGGCTCAATTTCGCGGCGCCGACAAGAATTTTACGTCCCTGATTTGTAACTCGGCGTCCAAGACATCCAGACTTTTATACGTTCCCGGCGTTTTAACGCGCAGTCCCCACGGGACGTATTTCTCAAAATTCGGTTTTCACTTTTTATTTTCGTCCGGTTTTTTCACCATGCGATATAAATTTTTAAGCAGACCGCTCGCGCCGCCGTGTGTTACGCCGACGGGAATCTGCACGGTCGTTCCGTCTAAAGGGAATATCGTTAATTTAATTTTTCGTTCGTTTTTCCCGCGCACCGACCGTTCGAATATTTATTTGCACACGCGTCCGGATATAAAACATGATAAAATACCTAGATATAATAGTATGTAATTCCGTTGACGCGTATAAATAAACACGACAGCAGCGCTCAGTTTATCTCGTCGACGGTGTTTATTTTCGTCCTTTTGTGTATTTCACACGCCGTTTTGCGCGACGTCGACCGATACAATTTACGAATAAAAAAAACACGACTGTACCTTGTCGTTTATTTTAAAATAATATTCGCTTTGCCGGTTATATTGTTCATATCTACTGCGTTTCTCTATGACTCCCGTTGCTCAATACCTAAACCAAAATCTGACCGGAGGGTTACCACGAACCTTTCGTTTTCAAACAAACTAATCGTCGGCACCATTGATGCTCCGATGGTTCATTGCCACGTCGCCGACAACTGATTTGTGGATATTTTATTTTGTTAATACTTACCTATGACGTACGTTGCTTGAAGTACACCTACTCATGACTCCATCCCACTATAGCTCATATTAAAACAACTTGTTTTCATTGTCGTTTTTGCAGGGATTACACTATAGTTTTCTTAAATTGTCACTGTACTAAACTAAAATTCTGAAAATAATGAGAAAAATTCGTTTGAACATCTATCTAATCGTTGATGTCTTATTGTTATTGTCAATAGTTTTTGTGTTTTGGATAGTACTAAATTTATGTATTTACTTGCGTTCATGCCACGATCGTGGCACTGGAATTTCTTTAATAATAATAATTACATTGCAACAATAATATTTCAATTAAAAATATTAATATAACCGAAACGGGAACATTTTTAATATACCTTATAAAACCGAATCATTTGTCGACAAAATGAGAGTCAACGACGTGGGAAGACACGTCTCAGATATTCCTCCGTCAAGTGAACATTAGAATTTCTATGTATAAGTACTCATTCTATTGTTTCTAATTTTGTTACGTTCATTTTTATACCGACTATGACCATAGTTGTCCAATTCATCGTACGGCGCAAACGTGTGATTAAGCCAGAGGTTTCCAAACTTTTTATGCTACGACCCATTTTAGAAATAATTATAATTTTGGTAACCTACAATAATACCAATGGCCTTGTATTTTGTTAAATTTATTTCTGGATGATTCATGAAATTTGTTCAATTACGTACTCTCATTTTTAAATATAAATCCAATTTATTGGTAGAAAATTTGTTCACATGGAAAAAAATATCGTAATTTTTTTTTTTAACTAATACCTCTATTTCGTACATTTTCCCGTTTTTCGTCAGTCTTTTCCCTGTTTTTACAATATATTGAGAAAATTTTTGGGAAAATCAAAAATTATCTTTCCAAGTACGATTTCCTTTCAAAAAAAGTGTTACAAAGTACTTATGAATAGGAGAAAAATTCCTGGAACAAATGTTATTCTCGGTGTCGCGTCAAAATTTTACGGAAAAAATTTCGTCGTAAAAATATCGCAGGAAAAACATCGCGAAAAAAATGTCCACCAAAAAAATAATATCGCAGGTAATAATATATCGCCGTAGTCACCGATATGGCTCGGAGTTCCGGTTTTCGTACAGTCATTAGTAGGATTAGATTAGATTAAAGTACCATAAGTAGATAATACAAAAATAATAATAACGAATATAAAGTTCAGAGTACAGATTAGTATGCAATCCGCAACCATAGTAGAAACTCGCCATCACAGTAACTTTAGATATAATCATGATGTCATTCCTGTATATGATACATCAAAAAAAATGGAAAATTACTCATGTTCAATTCTTTTTTGTACAAAAAAGTAAGAGAAAACAAAAATAAAGTTATTTGGAAGTGCTTTGAGTATAATACAAGAAATTTCGTAGTCGATTACATTAATTTTGGCCAAATGTAGTTCATACTACTGAACATAACCATGTTGTTGGTATTGTAAAATTTAAAGCTAATGAAGCAATACCAAGACTTATAAATATTGCAAAAACTATCACTCTAGTACCCATTCTGTATTAAAAACACTGACCTCACAGGTATATAGTTGATAAACATTATATACAATTTTCAAATAGTTATTTTTAGTTTATTGTTTTAGACCTCTTTCAACATAGCAGGCCAATTTTCGAGTACAACAGGATTAAAACGAACAATTCAACGAGTTAGAAAAATTAAAAGATCAGCTCCTACAGACACAAAATCAGTAACTGAACTCAAATTACCAGATAATTGCACAAAAATTACGGCTGGGGAGCTTTTTTTAAAATATTGAGTATTGAATATTAAGTATTGATTACGAAAATAACATAGACCGGTTTTTAATCTTTACTACCGACAATTTACAATTGATGGAACAATGTGAACATTAGTTATACGATGGTACATTTTCTTGTGAACCTATTATTTTCAACCAACTCTATACTATTCATAGAATAAATTATTCATAATTTAAACCAGCTGTTTATATACTTCTTCCTTATAAAAGTAAATACTTACAAACGTATGTTTTTAGCAGTAAAATGTTTAAAACCGCAGCTTAATCCCAAAGCCGATAATGTTTGAAAAAGCTGCTATAAACGTTACAAAATATGTAATTCTATCAGCTAATATTAAAGGGTGTTTTCCATTTAACCCGAAATATTTGGCGGCAGGTACAGTGAAATGAGCTACAAGTTATGTATACAAAAGGTTCAAATTTTGCACTCGAATAAAGAAAACTAGCAGCCTTAACTTTTGAACCCGAAAATAATTTAATTTCAGCATTTGAATCTCTGTTGGATTCCGAGTTTTATAGAGAAAATGAAGAGAATCTATTAGATTTACTCAACTATTTTGAAGACACGTGGATCGGAAGACCCTGCTGCAGAGCAAGAAGAGCTCCTTTATTTTTTTTAAATGTTTGGAAATTGTATGCATTATCAAAGTATTATATTCCACGAACTAATAATACGGTCGAAGGTTAGTATAATTGTTTGAGTTCAACGTTAAGTTCTAATCATCCTTCTATCTGTGATTTTATCGATTCACTGAAAATGGAAGAAAGCTCAAACCATCTAAAAGTTGAACAGTTTATTGCTGTCATACAACCTCCGACAAAGAAAAAATACAAGGATTCTGCAATTCGATTTTTAGACATTTGTGATGATTATGAAAATCTTATAACTTCCAATATTAATTAATACAAAATATAATTTATTACAATATTTTTAATTATTATTATTTCTCATTTCCTACTTTATTTTTATTTATCAAGTATGACTTTATTCTTAGGACATTAAAAATGAATAAAACAAAATTATAATATAGGTATATTATAATTTATTATTATTGTATTTTTCATATTTTTGACATCGCAATATTTTTACCGCGACATAATTACCGTGATATTATGACGTGGATTCGTTGTTCACGGATAGAAAATAAAAATATATATAATTGTAAAACCAAAACATTTCTCGCTCCACTCTGAATCTAAACAATTTATTATTTAAAAATATAATACAATTCACTAAAAATATGATCGCGACCCATACTTCTAACCTCGAACCTCTAGATTAAGCAATGGGCCATACTCATCCTGCCTCCAATTTCCAATCGTATCATTTAAACTATTGCTATAATATTATTGTAATTACGTTTTACAATTGCGTTTTACTATAATTGTGTTGTTATACTTTGTATATTGTTTTCGGCGTTGTGTTTCGAAAATATGTGAACTCAAAATAAATGTAGAGCTAATTTTTAAGAGTTATTTCTAATATTGTATGCGAATTATTGTTATTTGACTTTTTGTCCGTATGAATTACCAAGTAAGTGTATGAAATATATCGCAATCGAAATAAAATTATGTCACGAGTAACTTCAACATTACAATAATAATCAAAATAAAATTGTTATAACGTTTCGATGCGAATATCCAAGGGACCATTCTAGGAAGATTTCCATCACGTTCTCTCTTTAGAATATAACGAGAAATTTCGGCGATTTCTTCACAAATTATCTTGAGTTCTTCAAAGAATAAAGGACAACATTTAATGAAAAATTGAGCTTTTATATAACACTGATCATAGAAATAAGTCACAGGGACACAAAAAGAGGATCGGGTAAGCCATAGTGCTATAAACAGTAATATAAACTTCTAGGAACGACCTTAAAACCTTATAATATGGATGAACTTCTTATTAATAAACGTTTTATTTCGTAATGCCTTTTCATGTTTTTTTTTTTTTTTTTTTTAGAATTCACTCCAGAATAAAGTTTTATTGGAATATAATACAACCAATACATTCCTCGCCATGTTCTGAATCTAATAAATAATATTTATACTGGAGATTTTTTTTTTTTAGAAAATATTTAGTCAAAAAAATATTTTGGTGGTTAATCGGAGTTATTTCCATTAAAAACATTTTTTACTGGAGTCTTTTTTAATCGAATACAATTTTCTACTGGGAATATTTTGACCGCAGTTATTTTTACGGAGAAATTTGGACCTGAAATCAACCGCCTTTACTTCCCTCCTATTCACTTTTCCCCCTCCTCCCCGATTATTTACGACGATAGTGGCGTATTTTTCGGATCACCCGCCGTAGTAAAATACAATAATAGTGTTTAATCCGTCGTCGCGGGATAGCCGAACCGTTTAATTTATTCGTTACGATATTATTATGTATACATTTATATATAATATCGCGCACACAAATTGTAATAATAATGCGCGGGCGGTCGGGTTTTCTTTTTTGAATATTCTCGTAATATAATATTTTATAATATTTTGGCGATGCCGCGGCGGAATATGGCGCGAAATATGATAAATGAGAACCGGCCGGAATGTCAAAGTTTGTGCTGCTCCTGCTGCTGCGTGCAATACATGGCGCACATTAGCGTGCGTATAAAATCCGCATTATACACGAACGGGGGCGGAGAGTTATTTTATTCGAAATTAACTTTTTCTCTGACCGAAAAACAAAAACGGAATGATAATAGCAAATAATGTATACGATCGTATACTATTTTATTCTCTCTCTCTCTCTCTCTCGCTCTATCTCGCTCTCTTTTGCTCTAACGTTCTCTGTCGCATTCCGTTTGTGGGTCTCGTCAGAATGACGTGGTTTTTTTCCTCTAGTATATAAGAACAGATTTAGCTCGGACAGTCGACCCCGCTGCCTATACGCCACCACAGACCGGACGTTGGCGTTTATTTTGTTTGTTCAAGTTGTATAATAATATTGTTACGGGCGAAAGCGGTCGACTCGGTTCCGAGTCAAATGCTGCGGCAGCGCCACCACCGTAAAACGAAAATAAAATAGATTTGGGCCCTTTTTGCTTTGTCCCTGCATTATTATTTCGAAAAAAAAAAGAAAAAAAAAAGAGTAAATCGCGAATGATGAACGTACGCGTTTTCGTGGACATTTTCACAAAAACAACAACGATGACGACGACGACGATGACGACAAATCTACACGCGGGCAATTACTATTACAACAGTCGTAATCTTTTACAACGAAACCTATACGGAAGGGTAGCCATCATTTTTCTCCCTCGTTTGAACCATCCGACTTGTCATACCGTCGTTCTAACCGGATAAACCATTAGTCGCAACAGTCTTCCGTTTACTGTTTTATCAAATACGTGGACTTTGTTATAAATTTTATCGAAACGCGTGCAGTTATAATGGTATACGTATTGTACTGTACACACGAACCTAGGAAACATTAGATTATGTAAACATAAATCATGTTTATAACCCTGTAATCAGTGGTTAAAGTGTGAGAACATGGGGTAGCATGAAGTTCTCCTTCTTATTTAAGGTAAAATTATACGTTTCTTTTAGTTATAGTTTAAAACTTCAAAGATCTGCGAAACAATTTTGTTATTTCCATTGATGTTCGTTGATTAATAATTTTATTAGAAAAAAAGAACATAAGTGCTTGATACAAAATATTTTGAATAGTTATTACTGAGCAGGCAAATATGTTAAGTTTCGTTTTTTGGTGATAAAGTTTAATTTTAAACTAAATTCACATACATGTTGTACACAAATCAATGTGGGAGTAAACAAATGCGAAAGTATTAATTCGGTGGGTACCCTGGAATTTTGATTGGGTGAAGTTAGCACTTGGGGACGTCCATAAATTGTTAATTATAATCTCCCCTTGAAGTTTTCCCCGCTTTAATTATATACTGACTGCAACAACGAAAAATCGCGTCGAGAAAATTATTATCTATAAGTAACATTATGTACTACAGTCTACTTAGTCTAAAATAAATAAAATTTAAATAAATAAATAAATAGCTGCGACACGAGATGTGTAAATTTTAAAAGCCATCAAAATACATACACAATTGCGCAATTTGTTTATATAATCTATATACAAACTATTTTACATATGATTTTAAATGCAACGCTACCATTAAATTTGTTTGTTCTCATTAAAAATGTATTAGGGTAATTTCTTGTTTAATCTCCCATTGTTTGAAATAGTACTAGAAGTCTCTCTGTCGACTTCTGCAGGTCACGTGCCGCTTTCTCTTTTCAAGCATTACTACACTTAAATATTGTTAAATTAAATGTAGATTTCACCTTAATATACAGAAAGAAGTCACACGGCCCAATAAGGCAGATGTTCTAATACTGGGTCTATCAATATTTGGCTAAAGACTTGGAGCTTCTTGTTTTCCAAACGTGAGAATTTCAGGGACCATTTTGTTATACACTTTTTACATGTTGAAGTATTATTATAAAAAAATGTCCGTGTATGTTGTATATTTCCTTGAGCAATACACTAATTAACATCGAACGGAATTTTCGGACGATCAAGGGAAGAAAAAGTGTGAGCGGACCCCCGAGAAATCAAAAAGGTTAAATTAAATTTAACAGTTTAAAGTTTTCAAAATAATTTCATATTCACGATATAGGTTGGATTAGTTTCATATAAATGCAAAATAGAAATAACGTGTGGAATAAAAAAACAAAAAAGTTCGTACTGCTATTGTACTATAACGGGTGTGCCACTCTTATTGGTGGGAATTTTGAATACATAAAGTTATTTAATTTATACATGTACGTAGCGATAAAATAATCAATGCTAAATAAATGGAGACATGGGTGAATTTAGGGAGAGCGGGTGATTAAATTGGGCATGTTTTGTCACCCAGTCGACAGTACATTTTTCTTATACTCCAGTGTCTCTAAAACGGAGTTTAGAGTATTCATTGGCTTACATATTTTAAATTATTCAGATTAAAATATATTTAATGATAAAAATAATCATAATTTTTTATAATATCTACCAACGAATAAAATAAGTATTAAAGTATACCGGGTGTTTTAGAAAAATATTCTCTATTTAAATCTGTGTTAAATAGAGGGGTTCCTATTTGAAAATCAAAAGTACATACTTATTGAAGGTACATGAAGTAAGGATCACAAATTTAAAATTACTTTAAAATAAAGCTTAAACAATTCCATAATGATTAGAAATAACAGAAATCAAATTCATTTAAAATCCTCTAAGATAATTGCTAGTTTATAATAAAAAAAATCACCCTGTATACATTTATTGTAGAAATTGATGAGCACATTTTTCATATCTCCGGGTTTGGTAAACATAACAAACGCCATTGTAAAGTATACAAAATAAACAGCTGTCATATTAAACAATAACGATATTTGTTATCACATAATATCAAAACTTTTGACACGGAGTATCGAATAAAAGCTAAAAACAATATTGAATAGTCTGAGTTATTACTAGGTATTTAAAAGAAAAAATATTAGAATTTTAGTAGGAATATGGAAAGTGTGGAAAATTCTATAAAAATCTATAAAAACTTTTGTGCAATTCCTAATCTAGACACGGGACTAGTTGAGTACAAGCGATTTTGAGCGAAGTTCGGTTAATCGTGTTTTGAAATGTCATGATTTTTACTATTTTTTGACAACATTTAAACTTATAACGCTAATAAAATTACTACAATATGTTAAACTTTTTTTTAACAACAAATTCAACGTATACGCGTATTATATATGATGGACCTCATGTTGATCATCATGACCTCGGACAAAACTATTTTAACCAAATAAAAACTAAAAGAAACCCCAAAATGATAAATGTCTATAAATAGTTTGAAGATCACCAAAACTTTTTGAACATTTTACTACATCCAAAAAAAACTAATTATTTTTGACTGAGTTATAACAAAAAAAAATATATCGTCAATAATTAAACCGTTTATACCATTTACGATCCTATTTTTAGTACTTGTTTTCTCAATTATTATAAAATTAACTTGGAAGGTTAGATTAGGTTAAAAAAAATGTCTTTCTCGATGCAACAACAAGACCCAAAAGGCTACAAAAGAGCTTATTGTTTGTAATTTTTTGATCTGAGAAAGATTTCTGGTAGAATCGTTACTCACAGACATAAGAACGAAAATAATAATAATAAAAAAATACACATAACAGTAAAACCAATATGTTCCTCGATACGTTTAAAAATCTAAATAATGTATCTCGAATCTATTAAAACAAAAAAAAAAAACGCGTGCATGATAAAGAGTTTTTTTTATATTTGTTCAATACTTAGTCGATATTTTAATAAACCGATTTTACGATATTTTCCAGTACACTCAGTCCGTATGAATTTCCTGGCTTTTGAAAATTAATCTTTGTTTTTATTCGCTCGCTCACAAAAGAACGGTTTTAGATGTTAGTATGCGCTTTTATACTATACGATGTTCAATACGCGTATTATACAGTTACATTATTTCGTTTTGCGACGACATGTGTGTCACATATAGTAAACCGCGGTGCGTATATGAGTTTAAACTTTTCCGCCTTCTATAATTGATATTGTAGTTATTAAATTTCAAAAAAAATATATCCCGTCAAGAAATTAGTATTGTTATACTCCGCATTTCACGTGTGAGGTACATCATGGACAAATAAGATTGAATTTCATGTACACGAGAATAACAAAACAATATTAGTATCCCATAGCAGTTCTCGTGGTTTCTTCCGATCGATTAACCGGCAGCTCCGTCACACTTGCTTTCGCATATTGGAAATTCTGAATATTGAATTCAAAACAGTGTTTTCAGTGTACAATATTTTATCGAGGTAACAATTTTGATTTTACATGTCTTATTAAAATATATATTATAACAGTTAGATCGATGAGCGAAAGATTCGAAATAAAAAAAAAAAATTGATTACAGACGTTCGAAAACGTAAATTTCGTTTATCGCGAGCCCGCGTTATGTATATTTGATTATCGGACATTTTTTACGGATCGAACACAAACATATTATTACACGTATAATTCAACTTCGTGCGGTAATCGGTTGAACGTTTTCGGTTATCAAAATGGGTTGCGATAAATCTTAAAGTTTTTCTCATAAACATATTTTTGTCGTTTATTATATTGGGGTTATTACATATATGAAGGGGGCGGGGTTAATAAGATATGGGGTGGAAAAATAAGTATTTTACGATTCCAGTATGTCTTACGTATATATATATAGGTATGCGGAAATATTTATTTAAATATCGCAAATGTAAATTTTTTAAAAAAATTTCGTCAGATTTTAAAAATTATACATTTCATTTTTTTTATTTTCCAACGTTAAATACATAATATTTCATCAACATAACCTGCTGCAGTTAACTGCAATCTACTATCGACTACGACATGTGCACATCATTATTTATGACGTCGTCGTTTTCGGTCCGCATTAATCTTGAGAAATATTTTACCAGACGCTAAATTATACATTTAATATTTATATAATAATAATATATTACTCCGACGAATGAATACCTAAGAAATGATTAAATGCGTTGTAATATTTGAATTCTATGGCTGCAATTTGCGAGCGAATTGAATGCCTTATTAAATCGTAGTAAGTTTCGCGTACTAGGCGTTCGCTGTGCAACAACCCTACAATTGGGTTTATAACATATTACCTAACTTAATCTAATCGAACCTTTATAGTGTAAAATCAATGCCTACTAATATTCAAATATTTAGAGTATAGATATCGGTGGCCGTTGACGTGAAACGTCTTGAAACATTTTTAACGTCAGCCGAGCTCTTTATATACTGTGTATTAATGGCAGAACTACCGACTGCAAACAGGATTTTGCGTAGGAGAAAACTAATCGGGCGTTAAGGATGGGTGCTAAATTTATATTTGACACAAATGTATAATACAACAATAAAAATAAATAATACTTGTTTACTTCACTGTTTTGGGTCGAAACCAAAACAATTCACGATGAGACTATTGTTTTTGGCTGAGACAGTGTAAAGTGAACGTTTACACATATTTGGATAGGGGGGGGGGTGGTTATTAGTGTATGAATTCAAAAAAAGGATGTACTTGAAGTTTGATCTCATTTGTATCAATGATCGTTAAGAAAATTAATAGAATTATTTTTAGCTGTTACGTAAGGTGACGCAAGTACTACACTAAACTCTCAAAAATGTTGAATGCATTACGCCACTGAATCGATTTTTTGTAGTAGACAATTACACTGTCGTTATTTTTTCAAAATTATAAACATAACAAAAAATATTATTGTTTAAAAATCTGATAGTTTAAAGTGTTTTAATCTTGAATATTTTAGATTCTGAGTGGAACGAGGAATGTATTGGTTTTATAACAATGTTTATTTTTTTTTATATGAATACCTTTTCTACCAGAAAGCATAGAAAGCAAGATTATTAAGTAAAGCACTTTTTCTGAAAGGAAATTTTCTCTGAGCGATACTTTAAACAGGCAAATTTTTAAAATTCTCATCAACATTCGAGATAATGAGAAAAATCTCGATAAGTATGGCAACCTTATTTATACTTTGTTATTATTAAGTTTTTATTATTTTAATCTTTATTAAACAATCATTGTCGTCATGGAAACGCACATTGTTTTAATCATTTTACAATAATATGACATAGTACCCATATATTGTATTGTAGATAAATCAACATTATCAATTTAACTCGGCTCAGAATTGTTTTTTTGATAGCAATGATTTATTTTTTGCTTACAGATATACATTAAATTCCCGTCTGTAGCCTACCTTCCCACTTCTCACCTAAATCAGTGGCTCCACTCACGTGCGTAATATGCCCGTCCTTTGTAATGATATTGAAATTGAAAAACTCAAACTAACGATACATGGTACAAATTTTCTTTGTTGTACAGTGAAAATTCGGTTTCTTAGTTAAATCCATATCCCGGGTAGTTTTAACCCACACAAAACGGCTTTTCTTAAACAATTTTTGTCGATTTAACAATTATGTACAATAAATGTTTGAGAAAATGACACAGGACTATTACATTACACTTATATGTATTTAAATTTGAATTTAAATAGTTTTAGGTTGATACAATTTTATTTTTCTGAAAAATGTCGAAAAAATTACTTATAGGCAGCTCCTTAAATAAGGGAGGTAGCTATAGAATGATATACCTTATAAATTGTATAAACTAGTATCCCGCTAATAGTAATCCCGCTAACATATACAATGGCTTTGATCAACGCCGGCCGTTGTTTTTTAAATCTATAATACATCGTAATTTTTTTATTGTTATTATAATGACGTCATTTAATTCGCGGGAATATTATTTATCATTCCGACAAGATACGACATTTTTGTGCGTTCGCTAAACGTGTTATTGAGGCCGGTTTGTATTCACGTGTTTACAAAGTATTGGAATAAATCATTTTACTGATTAATCAAAAATAAGAATTTAAAATACCTATTTTATTTTTAAATACTTTTTTTTTTGAACTCATAAAATAAATTTCAATTTTGGTTCGAAAAAACTGTTTTGTTTTGTTTTGTACTTCATTGGTTTTCGACTTTATTAAATGATTTGACTGTTTTAGATTCTAAATGCACCTATGGTACCTATTTGAAATATTTTCTTTTTTTATATTTCCAACGATTTTTCTAAAAAATGTACAAGCCCGACAACTAAATATAACGATACACCAGTTTTACTTTTATTAATTTCTAGATTAACTTGACTACAAGACGAAAAATATGACTAATTATATACTACCTTACAAATTTAGTGAGTTACACTTAGAATCGTTCTTTCATTTCAATTACCCGTCGTTTCATTCGGTATTTAAACCGAATTATCCAATATCTGAGGTTATGAATTTGAAATAGTTTAATGAAATATTAAAAAATACACATTTTCGTTCTTAAATATATTTTGTTTATTAGTTCAGTTTTGAATTATGTTCTACAAAATCATAAAATTGACAAATTTGTCATAAATAAAAACTGATTGAACTATATTAAAGTCTATTATTAATATTTCAGAAGTTTATAATTTGTTAAAAACAATTTTTTTAAAGTTACGAACAGAACCGTTCGGTGTCTTAACTCTAAAGTTTGTCGTAAGTTTTGTGAAATTTCAGAGCATTACATATTATTAACCGCTTACACAGAAAAACAAGTTTGTTCGAATTATTTGTCTCCCGAAAATAGTAAATAAAATAAGTATTCTTTACAAAGAATAATTTAAAAAGCATCAGTTTTCTGCATTTAGAAATGGCCGTTTAAAATGTCAAACATTAACAAATGCAAATGTTTAATGCGACGTCCGAGGTAATAATTCGTTTTAAACCGCATTCCGGATACACGTATTATAATAATATTATGTTTCGTAAAATATCATAAACGCGTCGGGTATTTATACTTTTATACTTTTTCGAATTTGTCACTCTACGGGCAATTGTTTGGACGGAACAGTATATCAAGGTGCAAACACGAAATATTATTAAAGTCCGAGATGGTGGATGGTGCGCAATTTATACACGGTTTACGTTTGTGCTTTGGATGTGCACGGTCCATTTTGTGACCAGAACGACAATTCCCGCGTTTGTTATAAAATATAATATTTACTATCAGGCGCAGTAAATTGCCGGTTAGTTTTGAACAGAATCAATAATGACTATATTATTTTTTTGGTCGATACATTATAATATAATACTGTGGAAATGATTTGCGTATAAGTACCTACCTAATTAATATACATCACTCGTACTTACTTTGATCCGGTGGATATTACACATGCATCACATCGTCGTCGTACCACAAAATGCTTAACGATCCGACAAACCGAATGTCTGCATGCAATAAGTATCACCTATACTATATTATATTAGAGTTTCAATAAATATCATCGAAGATATTTCATATGTTATAATTCCGAGTGTAGCGGTGGAGCTATTGGATTTACAATGCTGTTAGTTTGTTTCTTCTTTTTCTTTGTTCTGGACTGTGGACGAGTTTTTTTTCCAGTAAACTAGCTTCGAGTTTAACGTGTAGCAACTTTTCCAAAAGCTCAAGTTGTCTAGATTGTACTTTAAAAACGTCTTTTTTTTAAATTTTTAACGCCGTTTTTCAAATAAGTGGGAAAAACGGAGGAAAACGTACAATTTCACGATTTCATTATTTTATGAAAACTCCTTTTTTGTTGCCTTTTTGATTTATTTTCTTACGGTATCGTCGCCAAAACTTTTGAGCCAAATTTAAGTTTTTATGGAATTATAATTTAAAATTTTAAATATGAGTTTTTTGCTGTAGTTCGGTTATAAATACACGTAGAGACTTGAAACTTGGTAATAAAATAATACTCATCTAAACGTGATAAAATTTCCAAAATTATCGGTTAACTTTTTTTTTTAATAAGCGTTTTGATATCAAATTTAAACGAAAATCGCAAAAAAAATTACAGCACTTCTAATTATGTATTGCCGAACTGCGCTCGGAATTATGTTTGTCAAGCAATTGTTTATCGATGTTTTCAGATATAAATGAAATTAACTTATGTATTCTACCTACCCAATTTCTCACCTATAACAGTGGCCTCTCCCATTCCCAGTATCAGCTCTTTTTTAAGTAGTTATTTCATTCTCGGGTAAAAACATTTACAAAAAAAAAAAATGGTTAAAAAATAAAATGATTTTTATCTAATCGCCGAGATTCAATTGAACTGTATAATATAATACTATTGAAAACTATTAATTGAAATTAAAAAAAAATTATCATTCACGTAGATTTTTATATATTTTTTTTTTATTACGTTACGGACAAAGTTCAATATACACACCCCGTCATTTATATCCTCACGCGGCACCTACGAAGGAAAAATATAAAAAAAAAATCGTTTTACCTTTTGCAATTTTTCTTCCCTCGCTTATTTTCACGTTGTTTTTTTTCTCATCCTCCTCCTCCGCTGCGCTTCTACACTATATATTTACTGTTGAGAAGTCACCAATCTAGATAAGTTAAGGAACGTCCTTAGGTCCAGGTCATTTATTTACGTTACGGGTTCGTCTATTGTCCAAAAAACCTTTATTTTCGATTCATTAGTGCAGCTGGCGCCCGTGCCAAAAAGATTTTCTGAATATTTTAAAACGGGACCCGGTGCAGTATACAGTATACACAGAACCTTTTCTTTCATTTTTTCTTCCGTTTTTTTTTCGTGTCTACACACACACGCACGCAGCCAAAACAGACTAGCGCACACATATTATAATAATATATACACATAGATGGATGGTTAGGTATATGTTTACGGGCCGTTCTGACATCAACAAATTACTATTGAAAAAAAAAAAAATGTTGAATAAGTATATTGTTACACGAGCTAGGGAGTTACAAAAAAAAAAAATATAAAATAAATAAATAATAATAACAATAACCAACAAAAATAATAATTTATTATGTCAGTATACCTATATTCTTATAGTGGTAAAACCATAGATGTATCTATCTAGACGGAAAATTATTCCTAAGGACCGGGGTTGAGGGAAACTTGTAGTTGTGCCTAAAAGATCAAGAAAGGCAGACTGACAAGTGATTGAGGAGTGAGAGAGAGAGAACAACTTTGGTTCCGAGAACAACCAATTAAAGTACTCCGTGATTTTTTATTTTTTTTATTTAATCCCGCAAAGAGCTCCCACCCACTTTTACCCGTTATCATACTCTGGATGTTCCATCTATAAAAACTACGAGTAAAAACCTGACGTGAGAATGTTATAGAATTGATATATACTTACCAGAATTGTGATTATTTAGATGGATCCGTCTAAAAAATAATCCAGATATACTAAAATGTCTATATATATAAAATGTCTTAAATTATAATTATTTGTTGTAATTATAAACATAATAGATATACTAAAACTGTGTTGTTTTCATTTATCTTTGATAAATCTTTAGTCGTGTTTTGTATTTTTATCCAGACAAAAACATTGATTTCCTTTTCTAATAAAAATCAAAAATTTAAAACATCGAGTGGGGACGTGACTCGCGAGCAAGCCGATAAACATTTTTACTCGAAAGAGAGAGAAAGAGAGACGGAAATAAAATTAACTTTTCGGTTATTTGTCGGAGAACATCTCGTAAACATACCCAAGTACATTGGGAAGAATACCCTCGACTAGTGCTGGACAATCAGTTTTCGGATTGAAATACAATCCAGATTTAATCCGAAATTAAACTTGAAATATTTTTGTTAAATCCAACGGTGACCCTTTGCCGAAACTTTCTAAGCCCCGGTCCTTTTTATTGTTAGTTAATAATTGCAATAGACCGTCTTGTCAGTATAATAATATTTATCGTAATATTTTATTAATATCGTAAATTATATCAAACATTTATTAATCGTTTTTATTTTTCTTGTAAAATTGATATACTGTAGAAAAACCTGATTAAATTCGAAAATCCGGATTAATTCATCCACGAATTTATCCCCGGCATACTTGGTCGGGTACGGGTATTGTTTGAGGTTTTCTTTGATTCGGGAACTCAGCAAAAACCGTAAAAAATGTTGTTTTTCGAGTGGAAATGGGATACCCCTTCCCCCATCTAGTGAGTTTGCTGATATAGATCTCGATTGAGGCCGAATCGAGCATCCCCGTGGTACATAATAATAATGATATTATTATTATTATTATGTATATTCTCGATTCGTTATTATTACGAAAACGTTTGGATAACGTTGGAGATACACACAACAGAACAAGTTTTTATTTTATTTTTATTTTTTTCTACGGGACTCGTTCAATTTGTGTGCAGTCTGAAAATGTATATTTTATCCACGCGCGTATATAAATCCTTTTCGAGTTACTTTAAAAATTTAATTCAGCTGAAACGTTGAATATAATATATACACGTCATATTATATTTATTTCTTTTGTGCGTGTGTGTATACGCGTTTCGTATAATATCTATTGCGAGTTATAATAATACAAATTATTTTTAAAAAAAATCCATTCTATTCATATTATTGCCAACAGGTTTTTTTTAAAATTATATTTATATATACATTACGTATACGTATGTATTTATGGGTACAGTATAGAGTCGAAATTTAACCGAACAAATGTTCAGTGTATAAAATATAAAGCCGAGAAACTATTATTTGAAACGACTTTTAGATTCTGATTGCAACGTTAAAGATATTATACTATATTTTTACTAAGGTGTTTCTTTTTTTCCAGACATCTTTTTTTTCGGATGATCAAAACACTCCATCTTATTCATGTCCCCGTATACCTTTATAGTTCGAATTTTTCACCTAGCGGTATTTCATTTCAACGATTTTTCTCGATCCCGAACTGAGTATAGAAAACAAACATGGCTAGAATATTTGAGTTATTTAACTTTATAGTGTCAGACCCGTATATCTAAGTTATCTAGATACAAATTTTTCGGTCTATAAAAATGCTCAACAATTTGATCAGGGTTGACCCTGATATTTAGTGGTAAAAATAATCGAATGTTGTATCGTGATTTACACCACCACTGTATCGTTATAGACTTCCACTGAACTCCATTCAAAATTATTTTTCGTATATGACGACAATAAGAAGTTAAACTATGATACGGGATTTGGAAGTAATATTATTACTTCCATTATATCCCTTAAAAACGTGCCTGTACCTCTTTAACCGAATCCCGTTGATAACCACTTATCGTTTTTTTTCTTCTTACTACGCTTATATCAGTCCAAATGGGACCATCGCTTCTTCTAACACGCTCTTTCATATATTTCTATACAGTGTCGCTTTCATGTTTCTTTAGGTATTTTTCTACCATATTGTACCATCTCTGCCGAGGCCTGCCTCTAAGTCTATTCACTATTAGCTAGTTTCTTGTGAATTCCTTAATGAGCAAGTATTTTCTCACCAGAGATGTCCTGCCCATTCAAACCTCTTTTTGACTAAGAAATATCGTTCATCTGTTTGTTGCATTCAATATCATCCTAATTTTACTACACGTATTGTTTTTTTGTTTAGGTTTAGCTTCCAATTACTTGAAGTCCCATACCTGTTCAAAAGAAATCTCTTTGACGCAGAAAATACCTTTCACCACTACCTTTCTAGTCATCACCATAAATTTTGTCTTGTTTTCGTTTACTACTAGCCCTATATTATAGCTGTATTTTATTAATTTTCTTGCGCATTCTTCAATATCGTACTTAGATTCTCCCAGGGGGATAATATTATATGCATAGGTAAGTAGGGTATATGATTATATTTTTTTTTCCATTTCTTTGAAGTCTGATAGATATTTCGTCACCTTTTTTGAGGATAAATTGTACAGAACTGGAGACGGTGCATTACCTTGCCTCAAACATAATGGATAGTTCTCCTAGACAACGTACTTTGCAGTAAGTTTGTTGATTACACGTCATCTTTGTTAGTCTTACTAATGTATCGAATATGTCAAAGTTTCTTAGACTAATCCATAGTTATTCATGGTTGATTCTATCATATACTTGTTTGAAGTCTACAACAGCTTATTTTCGAGGAGTTCTTTATTACATTTGTAATATTTTCCATAAGTTCTCTTAGTGTGTGGATGTGATCGTTTTATGGTTTGTTATAATTTATTGTTGCTTTCATTAAAACATTATAGATTAAATAATTGTACAATAAAATATCAGTTTAATGTTTAATGTTCCCAAATGCCCATCATCACTTAAAACAGTGACCTACCAGTGGTGCAAAGTGTATATCCGGCTAATATTACTAATTATTACGTAATCCAAAAATGTACTGCAGCCGATATATTATAATAATTATTATTATGATAGTGAATGCGAACTAGAAAATTTTCAAAATTAATTAATAAGCACACGTAGTGTTACTTACACTACAATATAGAGTTGTACAAGGTTTTAACGCAGAAAATATAAATCTCGGGAATTATTACTCGCAGGCAGCTAAGTTTTTATTAGAAATGTAAACTTTTCGAATAAAAGTCCATAACTTAATAATAACGTTATGTTATTATGATGGGGTAGTGTAATATGAAATAAATCAAATATAACACACATACGCGATAAAATTATTATTGCATCACCGCCGCCGAGGAAGAATTGTCATTGTTTGTACGCCTTTGCACAGATGTCGTGCTCGTTTTATATTATTATGTTAATAACGTATAACTATGAACTTAACTTTATCAAAATCCATAGTCACCAATTGACGAAAAAATAAAAAATAAAAATAAAAAATAACCACTCTTTCCGAAATGCAACTTAACAACGGATCTATTGGGATGACAGGATAAGGATTTAATTGAATATCTTTGAATTTCGGAAGATGCCAACGTTCAACTATAAGTGTAATTTAGGATTAACCCCATGTCAAATTATCGAGCATTTATTTGATGCCTTGTATGAAAATTGTCCTGTATGAACAAAAATTCGTGAAAAATTAAAACAAATGAGCTTGTCTTTACACCGACTAGATTATAAGCACTACAAGAAAATTGTTCATAAATTGTGCGATTGGTGTACGATTTCTGGTAGAAAAGTGGTGGACATACAATTTAAAAAAAACACAGTAAACCAATATGCATACTCTTTTCGCTGAATTTAAAAAACATAATACACAAACAAAAAATACGTATGTGTACTTAAAAACTGCAGTACCATAATATTATGTTTGAAATTAAATTGTTATTTGTTCACAATAATATTGCGTAGGTACGAAAATAATATCGCAGTAGGTGTACAGCATGCATTCATGTATATCGTTCACAGTCGATTTTTTTTTTAAATTCAAATCAAAAGCATACACCAAACAATATTATTATTATTATAACAATAGCTGCCGTGTGAAATAATGTTTTTTAATCTCGGGGAAAAAAATAATTTTTCGGGGTTTTTTTACCCCTGCGTTGTAGGTACACGTAAATACAATTTGCATTGTTACACGCGGTTGAGCCCTACAACAACAACAGCAACAACGACCAACCCGTTGCCACCTCCACTGCGTACGTTAAAAACCGTATAGGTATGCTATTAAAACTCCAAAAAGAGTCATAAATCATACTATAGGTAAAAATATTATAGAGAAAAGTTAAAATACAATATTTCACCGGCCTATTATACGTATAATATTATGCTTTTATCAATATTTCGAGTGTATACCTATATTATATCTATACCCCCCCCCCCCCNCCCCACATGGTGTCTGTACGGTAATTTTTTTTTCTCAATGTACTCGCAACGTTAACTTACTGTAGTCCCGTGGTAGTTATATTATTTATAGTAATAATATTACAGTTGGGTACCCATAGGTACGCACGTGTCATAAACGTAAATTTTCTCCGACGACGGCGACGGGCGACGGTTCCCGTGAGACGTGATGCGAGGAGACCGCAGCTGTATACAGTGTTGACGTTAATTATTGTTTTGACGCCTATTTACTATTTATTATTATTATTAATCTTCATTAATTGCGTCGTTTGTGTTAAAAAAAAAAAAAAAACAGAATATCTTCCTTGAGTCATGTAAAACAATAAAATTACAATAATTACCTTCGTTCTGTGATGTTATAGTTTTTGTTATTATTTAATACAATCAAAATGTCTACATACATTTGTGTATGATAGTATACATTTATGGTTTATTGAATTTTCTTACTTATACTCGAAATTTCGTTTATGCATTCGACAATACCATTCTGAGTTTTTTTTTTTTTTTTAAATAATTCGTACCTCATGATAAACAAATAATAGGTTATATTATTTATGAGGAGAAGAAGAAAATAACAATAGTAATCGTGTACCTAGTCCTACATAAAAAATGACAGTAAAAATGTATTTAATTAAATAAAGGCACACTTCAGCAAGAACTGTCATAATAATTTTATTACCAAACATTTTAAAACACGGTAATGCCGTTTTTATCAAAGCTATGCCAGTGGAACACTCATTATTTCCACTTATTAACCACCAGAAGTTCTTCCTCTTGTCAAATGCGAAAGCCCTAATCTTTAAATCAAATACGATACCTGATATGCTTGCCTGCGCAAGGCCAGTTCGGGCGTGCAAAAATTTAAACAATCTTACACGCGTTCAATCATTCCCAATCAATTAGTTCCCAATTCGTTAACAATCGTGTTATAACATTTTACCGTCCTCACGGTCCTCCGGACATATTATATTAATAGAACTTTTACACCTCACCAGTATTCAGAAACAGGCCAATACTAAATGCTTGTCGAATTTGAGCAAATTCGATTATTAAAACAGCTCGATAATATAATATATCATATATAGGTATTCATATTGTATATTATATTCTAGTTATTTTTTGTGGACTCCGCGTGGAAATCGGAACACGACGATAGAATATTATGATATAGCGCGTTGCGGTGAACATTGGCAGGTCATAAAATAATAAAATTGCAATATTCAAAAAGAAATTAAAAATCATTCAGACAGTGTATTTTGTATCGTCGGCCGATATTATGAGATTCTGCGGAATTCGAGCTAAGGACAAAATGTTGAGAATTTATTTTCATAGCGTTATATAAATTTTTTTTTTTTATCGAATATTCGAAAAACGTGGCGAATAATAATAATAATATGTCTTTCGAAGCACGATACGATTTTTATATTGGTCATCAGCGCCCGGCATCCTTTCCGTTAAAATATTCGGTACTCCAAAAAAGCGATTTCCGTGTAAAAAAAAAAGAAAAAAAAGGGGGGGGGGTGAATTTTTAATTACTGCTGATTATCGCAGTAGTCAAAAACGTTAGCGCGGAATACATCTATCCGGGTAGTATGGAAACCTAGGAATACTTGAAAAAACCCATTCCGCTTTGTTATGAAAACCTATAATTTCTGCAATTATTGGTCTAAATCTGAAACTGAAAAGTTAAGCATTAATTACAATGTCCTTAATGGAGAATCATGATGGAAGAATGGAAAAATAGACAAACCACAGCGGGTAGGGATCAAAGGCATTTTTTCAAGGCCATCAATTCGTTTGCATCTAAGTTGTACCAAAACTTGATTCAAACATAAACAATTAGCAATTTTTATTTTTATTTTTAGGAGGTTGTGTAGTTATTAAGATCCAGGGAGAGCAAACATAGTGTAGATACAATCGGTTACCACATCGTAATCAGCCAAGTGGATAAAACAAAGTTTTGTGTCAATTATTTATTCGGAGGCAGTGAAGCAATCAATAAAGTTCAACGGATTTAAAAAAAAAATGAATAAATAAAAACAATTTATTCAATTCAAGAAAACTTAATAGCATAGAAAGAAAAAAATCAGTTAGCGATGTACTTCATATTTTTGGCGGACCACTGTCTCGGGCCACAAGGACGCAATCAAATATTTATTATTTCTTCGTTTAAACTTTATCATTTATATAATATTATGTATCAACGATAGCAGAACCTCATCGTAAAAATACATATATTTAACATAGAATTACCCAATGATATATTACGTATCGATTTTGAGACATGGATAATATTCGGAATAAAGTGTTCTGAATATTAAAAAAAAAATACATTTTTCAGAACTATTTAATACTAAATTTAGAATAATTTTCAAAAGTTTTTTATTCCACATAAAAACAAAATATTTAAAATTAAATTAAAGGACAGTCACCTCAGTCAGATTTCCTTTCAGAAAAACTGGTACTTTTAAAAATCAAAGTGAAATTTCTAGAAGGAAAGTTGTACATATTATAAAAAAATTAACATCATTGTAAAACCAATACATTCTTCATTCCGCTTAGAATTTAAAATAGGAAATTTTTCCCCCGCTGGTACATACTTGATTTAAAATATTTTTCCAAATATCCTGTACGGTACAATATCTATATTCAAAAATTTCAATAAATCATCTGAACTTATCTTTAAATTCTTTTTTTCTAAATACACCTTTTTGTAAATTATTCTTGTAAATAAAAATACTGTTTTTGTATGTAAAATAATATTTATTCTTAATACTTGTAAAAAGTATTTTTTCCAAGTCTTTTAATGCTAAATTTTATTATTTTAAATGGAAACGCAATAATTTGCAACTCAAAGCATTAAAACGGTTGGTTTTGAAATTTAAGCAATCATTTAGCTATATAGATATATGAAAAAATCGATCCACCTTTTTGAGCATGTTTACTATCTGATAAAAATAAATCAAATACCTTTGGCCTCAAGGAAGAGTGACTTAAATTAATTTTGGGCATTTTTTTTTTTTATAACTGTATCTTATGTTATTTTTTTCTGATCTAAATCGCATACATTTTTATTATAATATATTCTAATACATATTATGCTTAAAATTGAAATATCATTAGTCACCATGGTGTACAAAAAAGGTTTAAATTGTATAGTTATTTAAAATGCCTGAAAAAAATTTAAGTTTAATTATTTAGTAATTTAGCCATTATTAGCAATTATGATATTATGTTTTTTAGCGATTTTCAACATTTAATTTAATTTATAAAGGATCATTTTTTAAGACAAAAAAATAAACATAATATTAGATATAAATGCACTTAATTAGAATTGCATGGCGGGTAGGTAAAGAGTATTTGTTTCCGGAAAAAATTGCAACAAAGTGATGAACTTATACCAAAGGGTTTTAAACAGTTTTTCATTTATCGGTAGTATTTTTCGTATTCCCCCCCAAAAAAAGCTATTGTTGTATGCACTCCTGATATTTATATTTATTTTTTACTCGTATTTCGTTGACATTATAGTAAAATAAAAAAATAAATCATATTTGTAATAATATTTCGGCAATAGGTATGTGTACAACTAATAGCAATATACATCAATAAATGACATACTGTTTATTATTCAGTAAAATTTACTATATTTTTAGGTTTTACTTGCGTTTTATAAATACAGTGTGCACATTTGTTCAGGTAACGATAAATATTTCAACCAGGCGATAAGACTTAAACACAAATTTTAAAGTAAATATGAAACGTTTAACACTTTCGGAGCGCGCATACACAATACAATATATAACTTACCCTTTTAAACACCGCCGACCATTTTTTCCAACGATTTGAATAACTGTGTTCTTTTTTTGAGGGAATTTTTTAAACACATGTTTTTTTTTATAAAATATAGTTTTATCGATAAAAAATTGAAATATAAACAATTTAGTTTTTTGTGTAAAACATTTTAAAATTTATATCATCCGATTTTGAACTGAAGTTTCCTTTTTTTTTATATCATCCAAATCACTAAAAAGTTCACAAACGGGTAAAGACTGTGAACAAATTAAAATTTTTCAAATTACTAAATTTCTGAAACTCGTCAAAGTTTGAATTTATACAAAATTATTTTTATAAAAATCGTTTGAAATAATTTAGTTCTATCTGAACCTATAGAACAAATGTGGGGTGTTTATTTAAAAAAAAAAATAAAAATAAGCGGTTTTGCGCATTTGCTCACCGAAAGGTTAAACGTTTTAAATTTATCCTAAAATGCGTGTTTCGCTACACCCTCTAATACTTGTACTATATGGCTACACTACCGTCCGTAAAACCGAATTTAAAATAATCCAAAGTCATCCGGCTGAAATATTTAGTGTTTAGGGTTAAACGATCACACTGTATAGTAGTATTAAAATATTATCCACTTTAAAACTATAAAATGTAATAATTTTCGTGTTACCCGTACGTAATGCCGGTTTATGTTGTTTTCCTCGGTTTTATTTTCAATACATTAAGTACGGCGTACCCCGTCATAATGGTTATTGGTGGCCGAAAACATGGCTATGGTCCAAAACGTAGCGATGCACATAGTATATTATATTATTATATTATGTACCTATACCCCATTATATGGATTAAAACATATAAAATATTTATTGGTTTTTTCGTCAAATACCTAATAAAAATATATAAATTTAATAAATTATAAAAATACTATTTTTGAATTTATATTTATTTATTTATCTTTAAATTCTGGGTGAAGTAACTATACAAGAATCTGTATTATAGTTTTACAAAAAAAAAGATTTTTTTTCTTATAAGAAAAAACTTTTTCAAATGATACGTAAACATGTTCCGAATTTCTATACCCAACTCAAAAGATTTCGCCCGGTGATACCTACTTTATTCAAAATATTTACCGAAAATGTCAGCATTTCACCCTCTTCCGTCCAAGGATCCGTCCTTCATTTGGTTTTTTGTTGATTTTTAGGTTATTACATTGGCATACAAAATAAGGGGATGGAAAAACACGACTTACGCTCCTCCGTTAAAATCGTTTTTTCTTTCGAAAACGAAATTACCCTACATATATCTACCCACCCAACTACCAACCAAAGACAGTGGCATACACATGGTGCAAAGTATGTCACGTATATTTTTTGTTATTATTATTTTATTAACTTAATATGTATACGATTATACAAATGTGTTACAGTAAAATAGATTTAAAGTTGTACATTTATCGGATTATTATGTTTTTTCCACACATTATTAGAGTACAGAGATAATTTTTTTTTAACAGACATACGATATATTGTATTATTATAATCATTCAACGTCAAAATGTCACTCTCGTATATATCGGATAATTATCTAATTCAATTTACTGTATACGTTCGCCAAATGTATTCAAAACGTTTTCGCCCCTTTAATATACAAATGTTCAAACGTTTTTTTAATATTCAAAGAGTAATTATTAAAAATGATAAAAAAAAGACTAGAAAAAGTTCCCTTTAAAAGCAGTGTATAATTCACGAAGACATTATGATTATTGCGATATCTTAGAAAGTATTAAATTTGTTAGTATTTTTTTTTTTTTTTACCATTTCAGAATTTTGTAGCTTTGATTTTCGGTGTTTAAATGTTTGATTTCCGTCAACCCGTTTAAAAGATATTCCACTTTTAAGTTTGAGTAGATGGACAGTATAGTGTGGAGCACCTTAACTCTTTCCTATCCCAACTTAAAAGTAGGTGTAATATATTGTCAACCAGTTGTTACAAATCAAACATGTCAAAGTCCAAATAAATTTGAATATTTTAAATATAATAATATTCCGTCTATTTATGAAATTTTCAATGTAGGTTGCCATTTGAAAATCAAATTCAGACAGTTGATTCACCGTTAAAAATATGTATAACAAAAAATAACTGAAACGTAACATTTTGGAGCTACTTGTTTCTTAAATTTTCTATGAAAAAAATTCAAAAAAATGTAATTCCTTCTAAGACATTGCAATGATAATATATCCGCGGGACTTTTGCAGTAAGGTATTTTGTCGTCATTTTCGTTGACTACAGTGGAGTCTGAATACATTTATAATTTAGACGTCTGGTATAGACTCAAAAGACAAGTTATACAATTATTATATGATACGACGACGACAGAAAAATAATGCTTAGCGGTATATAACTACCCATATAGATTGTTTCTTGAAAAGTCCGCCATACATTAGGTATATAGTGACGATGCGTTTTTTTGAAGTCCGATGAAGTTCATTTTCGGTTTTTTACGTACACTGCGCTTAAAACAATTACGCTACTCATTTTTCTAATTTCTTAATAGCTTTCGCGTAGGCATCAATACATTTCTCGAGCTTATATTCGTCTCTCGATTAAAATAATGTTCAACGCGGCCTGTTGAACTAGCACCGTCGTACAACGACCGCCCAAGTGCAATAAACACGCAAGTATCGACAAAGAAACAAAACGCATACAGATCAGCCGGGTACAACGACACTATAAAAGTACATACAAAAAAAAAAAATTAATAAATAATAATAATCACTTTTAAATTTAATAAAACAGATTTGACGGAAAAATATTACGATGTCGACGATTACGTTCAAATGTGAATAACATTGTCACTCGTTTGTACGATCGTCATAATATTAAACGCAGTAGATTTCCGTGTTGTTTGCGGTTTTCCCGCGATATTCACGCACCGGAAACGTACAAACACCAGTGTAGTGTACGATTTCAAACAGAAAAATACGGAAAAGGTTATTTTTTGTTTTGTTTGTATACGCCACCAGTATGTATGCATTTTAATAATATATTATACCTCTAGTAGGTACGCGTAATTTCTTTTAGTAAAATATTAAAAAAAAAAAATTAAAATCTCTCGTTTCGTGTACGCGGGTATTTGTAAGTTTTTTGTTTTTTTTTTTCCAAATTTCGTACGTCAAAATTTGATAATATTGAATGCTTTTATGCGCTTTTAATAATGAAACGGTACAATTAAAAAAAAAAACAACAAATCTGGACGTACCATGGGTATAGTCTTTGTGTAGATATATCCTAACCAGTAGACATTTAAAAGGTATAGGATAATTATATTATGTAGGAAAATGTAATTTATATGGTAAAATAAATTACTGCAATATACGTATTGTTAGTAGTAAGTATTAGAAAAATAACCAGGTCTAAACCTTGTTATTTTTCCGCTTGCAGCTAAATTATCCCAAAAAACAACACAAATATAACTGATGCAATCGATATTTGCTTATTAACTTTATTTTATTTTATAAACTATTAGACATTTAGACATATACTTTAAATAATATTTCACTTGGTGGAAATTTCGAATTTTTACTTCATACTTTGTGAAATAATTGAAATATTTCACAAAACAAAAAAGTGTAAATAAAAACTCACACTGATACGGTTGTAATTTCACATCACATTATCATGTTTTCGTTACACGCAAAAACTACGGTTTTACTAATTTATTGATTTATTTTTATCAAATTCTATACTGGTGTTAATATTATATTGTACTATTAAAAAAAAATTAATAAATAAACGTGCAAGAAAATCAAACTTTTTGCATAATAAGTATAGTTAACTATTGTTAACTAGTGAGTTTCTTATTTTCACATCGCTTAGCAATATTAAAACAGAGAATTATTATTATTATAATTTTTTTTTTTTTTTTTTGTAAGAAGATCGTAGTTAAATTCAGGCACGCGTATCACAATTGGATTTTAAAAAATAATGAATTAAAACTTCGCAACAATCGTATTTATAGTTATTATAGCCTATTGAAATTACTAAAATATAAACGTAATATTACGTTTGGTAAAATTAAAAGGTAAACGAAGTATTAATATTTGCACGGGTGTTTTTTATTATGATAACAAAAAAAAAAAAAAACAATACTACAAATTATATTCCTATTTTGTTATATTTTTAAATCGTCCCCGTTTTGATAATTATTATACAACCTACCTACTCGTTTCGAATAAAATAATATTATATTCTTTATTGATTACTTTTTAATGATGTTTTTTGTTAGTTTGGCTATTTTAATTTTTGTCGAATTTACCACAAAAATAGAAACTATTTCACTGTATACATGTGTAGGTGCCAACAGATCTTTTTCCCGATACTTTTTAACACTTTTAGTGGCTCCCTTTAGACCAAACAAGCTTAAACACGGGAATTAGAGCTATTATAGGCCGATTGAAGTTATCACTTCAATCGGCCTATAATAGCCTATAATTCATGGTGTATACACCATAATATAATTTAAATATCTGGCTTTTGGGGGGTTTCTACTTTCAACTCTCTCCATAACCATTTATGTGTTAAAATTTTATATTTTCACGGAAAATACCGGGTTTTAAATAAGTACCACTACAAATTAAAATACAATAAAACTTTAGTGACTATTATATTAACAATTTTAGATCAATAGTAAAAAAAATATTACAACAGCTACAACTCGAGTCTAGTGACTGAACTCTGATGTTATTCATGGGTGTTTTTTGTTTTCATCGAAATTTGGAAAATAAGTACTAGTTATAGGTAAGTTTATATAAGTAAATAATAATATATTGTTATTTAAGGTATTCGTGAATGAAAAATAAAGATAATCACGTCTTTGCGATAATATAATAATAATAATAATAACAATATTAATAATATACGAATGTAATTTAATTTAAACTTTAAACGCCATGGTAAAATATCGTCAATAGACTTGTACGTTCCAAAAGCCGAAATCGTATAGAACTCTATATAAAATTATTTTTCAGTTAGGTTGATGATAAATTATTATCGTAACCCTTATTGTATCTTCACGTGCAATTATTAAAGTACTTACTCTCCGTAGTTTTTTTTAAAATACTTTTATATGTGCTGTACGCTTACTCATTGTTCGATTTTTCTCGATCAGTCTCCCTTATATAACTTTACTAATTGGACCATATATATATATATACATAGAGTAGTATTTGTATGCGTGTGTATGTGTGTGTTTATCTGGAGTGCTGCAATCATATGTAGTAGAGTACTCTGATATAGGGATACTGCGGGGGGCGAATGGATAACCTAAGCGGGAAAACGGAATGATGTGTAGCACAGGCGAGGAAAACGTAAAGAAAAAATAACTGACGAGCCGAAACGTAAGCATAGTAACTATATATTATTGTATACCGTATAGATTTTAATTAACGAAATTATTTTTGATGAATTATGGACGAAAAGTCTTCCGGTGCAGCGTAGATATTATACTTGTTTAAAATTAACTACTGAATGTTTTTCGTTCGAATATAATATAATACGATGGTGCACGAGTATTATCTGTTTCGTCAAGACTTGATGTTTGTTTGTTTGTTTATTTTGTTTTGAAACATTTAATTTATATTAAGAGCGCTGTGGATTATCAACAGTTTTGTATAAATTCTTAAATATAGATTTAAAAATATTTAAATAGAAAGAATTTATCTAGATTAATATAAAAAATAATAGCAATTTAATTATTAAGATAAATATAAAAAAAATAAATCATTTAATGTATATTGGATAGATTTTCTTTTAAAATGCAAATACTTTTTTTTTTATAATAGATATCAAAAATCTATACCTAGTGAAGTGCAAAAACTGATATAGTTCACGTCTAGATTTCAAAAACACTTTGTAAAAAAAATACTAGCTGTCCCGCGCTCGGCTTAGGCCTTGCCAATTTTTCATTCTTTTTACCTTTATTCCCGTTTTGATTTGCTCGAATCAGTATAAATAGGTGGAAAGTGAGTCAGTAGCAAACTAAGTGTGTCATATATATTTTTACCCGTGTTACCATAGATAACAGCAAAGCATAAAAATCATATATCCAGTTTAAAATGCTAAAACTATGAAGACATAATATTACTGTAGTTTTGTTACTGTACCAAAAAATACAAAGATTCGTAAATACAAAGATGACGTTTTATGTGTTTTCGCTTTTTACTTACCCTGTACTTGCAGTACAGCGCATACATTTTTGTTTTTTTTTTCATTTATGTTATCATATTGACTCATACTATTTGAAGCCAATAATAAACTGACAGGTGATCAAATAGACTCTTTATTTTAAGTTGTTAAAGTAGTTACAGCATTTTTATTTCTGTTTATTATTTATTTTTTTGTTTTTAATTTTATCCGTGTAATTAATGTAACCCATAATTCAACAAAAATAATTTTATTTTCATATCTAATATTTAAGAACCTTCCATCACCCCTTCTAGGTCATAAATCAAGATGAAGACTATCCTATCTTTTAAATTGTACCAAGTCACACACACATTATCTTACCAAAATTGATTGAGTTGTTTCAGAGTGCCACCTAAACTCATCGTATATGCGATTTTTATACATACGATATTAAAAAGACTAATAGTGATAGATGCGCCACGTAGTTTTAGAAGAGCAGTTTAAAAAGAAGATAGGCAAAGTTATTTGTTATATCCCAACGATAAAACATTGCTAATGAAACTCGATTCTGATCAGAATATTATTATTTATATTTTTTCCTTTGTTGCCAAGGTTTTTCAGTTTTTCCTATTTATTAAAAAAATGTCAAGGTAAAACAGTTTCATCAGTGCACAAAATAGGTTAAAAATAATACAAGAAAGTTCAAAGTATGATGTCCGGTAGGAAACAAATTTGAAATAATGAAATCGATAACGCCGTGACGTGCCGTAAATAATTTTCCGTTTTCCCTATAGATTTGTTTCCGGGTTTTCCCGATCTTTATGAAAACCCTTCAGCAAATTAAAAAATAACCCGTTTAACGCAACAGCTAGATATAAAATGCGACAAAAAAGGTGTCTGATTATATTTTGATCGTAGCGAGATTCTCGGTAGAAATATTGTTTACAGACAGAAAAAAACAAATACACACAAATAAAACGCACGTTGTAATGAAAACAGTACATTTCTCACTACTAGTCTGAAATATTATGTAAAAAAAAAAATAAAAAAATAACTTAAAATATATCTATCTATATTATAATTCAGATATTATTATGTCAATTAATCTAGACGGTACACACAACACATAATAAACAATATACGGGCCTTGATAATGGAAAACTGTACACATGGGCTCGCATTGCGTATTATTTACACACGCGGCTAGTTCAAACACAATATTATTATTACGGTTTAAGTACAACAGCCGGTCGATAGCGTACGGCAAATAATAATGTTTTATCATATTAACTCGGCCCGGGCAAGAGACGAACACGACAAAATAATCGACCTAGGTACCTAAAATCCTTAATAATATAATACCTGCGCGTTGTTTGGAATTCATTACCGCGCGCGGTAGACTGCGCCGGTTCTTGAGTCGTCGTCGAATAAAAAAAAAAAAAATTTTTAAAAATGCGCTTGTTTCCCGAAAATGCGGGCCGATGAAATTGTTTATAGTCAGGCGTATCCGGAAACGAACAATACATTTAAAGAAATCGTTTTCCGATCCGAAACGCATGACTACACGAGTACACGAACACTACACAGGTATAATATACCGGGTTACCTACATTGATGTGCCTTAAAAAAAAAAAAAAAAGTAATAATAATAATAATAAATTCCTCTAGGGTAATGTCCATCACTACGTATACAGGTACCAAATTTTTTTCTTTTATTTTTTTCGATTTTAAGCTCTCGCACTTTTATCATTATTGTTATTGATATTATTATTATTAATATTTGTATTATCTACAATAGTATAGGCGAAATAATTATATAAATTTATTATGGCTGTCTGACAGCCAATAATAAAGCGAACTCTTCCACCACTTGTTGGCCGTACATTGTGCCGCGGGGATAACATCTTGACGGGCCATTGATTGAACGAAAGCGGATCGTCGGGAAACTATAATATCATATAATAATATAGCGCACGTGGAATTTCTCCGACATAATAATTGATCGTTAACAAGTGTAAGTAAACAGGCTATTATCACCGATACACGAATAATTTAATAAAATCGATTCGAATATGAAATAGCTGACGGATCCTTATTTGTAGGCAAATTTTCGTGGTGGCAAATTTTTTTTTTTTTTTTTTTTTTATTCATCGTTTTAGTTTATAGCAGATAAAAATGATGTTGAATAATTTAAATGTATTTATACTGTTATAGACGGGAAGTTGGGAAAGTAGGATACATAAATGTATTTAATTTCTATAAGTGATGTGTTTAACCATTGTTAAAGAAAAATGATTCGGAGCGAAGTTTGGTTACACATGGTTTGAAAAATCGTAATATTTACGATTTTCGTCAAAATTTGATAATAAAACTCCTATAAAAATGAAATACTTTTATATTTTTTAACCATTATGTAAGACTTGTAATGAACCGCTTGTTAAATTTTCTAAAATGTCTATTTAGTCTAATAATTTTATTCACAAAATACTTACCAAATAAAAATTACGGAAAAAATCATTTAAAAAATGGATGTCTATAATAAATAGTTTACAAAAGTTTTATGTTGATATTTCAAGTTTTTACGAATATTTTTAACCTAATTACAATCAAATAGTCCCGTTCTTTTTACTCTTTAATTTTGGTTTTCCTAAATTATTAAAAAAAACTGCAGTGAAAATCAACTAAATTAAAAAAAGTCTCTTTTTTTGTTTTTCTATTGGAGTAATATTTCTGGTAGAAAAAACGAAGCGTAAAAATGTAAAATGATGAAATCATAACGTCTTAAAATCGTCAATTTAATTTTACGTTTTTTATTTTTTTGTTTTTCTCAATTGTTATGAAAATTACTTGGCAAATCAATATAGTTCTTTCTTCATTATCAACAAGATCCAATGTTAATAGGTATTTTTGATTAAAGCAGTATTTCTAATAGAAAACATAGTTCGATAAAATTTAAAAATAATTAAATTGGTAACGTCACGGGGCTCGTTACGCACCGAAACTAAAAATTGTTGAAGTTCGAACATGAACTGTTCAATTACAGGACCGCGCACAAAAAAAAAATTGTGAACCATTGTTCCAGACAGAGATAGCGGTAATAAAACAAATTTGACTGGGGTTGGCAATAAGCTATGTATACTACTGATCATTATAACCGATACCATTGAGATCCATAATATAATATATATGGGGTTCTATTATATATGGTATAATAAAAATAGAATATAATACTTTTAAATGTTTAACTATATTGATGGACCATAATGGCGTTACGGCGTTGTATACCGATTGTGAACTGCGTCTTCGTATGCGCACCAATTTAAATAATGAAATTTCGCCACGGACAGAAATCTCAGCTGGCAGTGATATTTATCACCGGATCTGGTGCTGGTTACCGTATAAAGCCATTGCCAGTTACGGTCATGATATTTTCGACGTATCACAAAGTCGCACTTTGTTATGTTTCACAATGGGTGTGCCTATCAAACGCATGATTTTGGTTGGAGCGATCGGTGACATTTTAATCCCATACCTCCTTATTCGGTCTTATCATATTATTGTATATTTATATCGTGATAACTGATGTTGTATATTCTGTTACCGTTATACCACAGAATATACGACCATATTATTGTAATCTATTGGTACACTAATGATTGTTACTAATTTTACGCTGATACGTAATAGATTTAATGCAGTGAAATTGATTTATCATAATATGTAACTACGTATATGATACGACCAACGGGCCTCGAATTAAATTTCACGTCTTATCGCCAGTTAGAAATCTAAAAAAAATTATAATTTATGTACTAGTTTTCCCACGCCTAGTGTTATCCGTGCTATTTTTTTTTTTTTATTGTTTTTACCTTTATTCCATTTTGGCCGTATCAGTATATTGAACGAAAGCAAATTGATGGAAACGGTGGATTAAAAATGCTCTAGTTTGTTATACATTTTTTCATCTGTATTACCATAGATACTCGCAAAACACAGTGATTAAATCATATATCCAGTATAATAACGATAAAATTATGAGGACATAATAGTACTGTAGTGTTGTTACAGTTCCAAAAAATTAAAAGATTCAAAGATGACATTTTACGTGTTTTCACTTTTCACTTACCCACCCAGTACAACGCAAAGCATTTTGTTTTTTTCCGTCCATGTTTCAAAGGTAATCCATCCTACTTAAAACCATTAATAGACCTGCAGATAATCAGATAAACGCTTTATTTTAAGTTGTTATAGATTTTTTATTACTGTTTATTATTCTCATTTTTTTTTGTTTTTATTTTTATTATTTCGTCCATGCTACTAAGGTAATCTATAATTCAACAAAAATAATTTAATTTTTCGTACCAAAAATACCTAAAACCCTTGTATGCCATTCATGTTTTTTTTCGTGACAAAACGTAGCCTATGTTCTTCTCCAAAGTCCCATCTATCTCGATCCCGAAATACATTAAAATTAACGGAAAATCAAAAAATTTAAGCGGTGCCGATCATTTATTTACTATGATATGTTCCCGAGGTTATTTGACAAACCTATCGGTCCGCTTACATTCGACCAATGACGTATGTCAAATTAAATTGTATTATAGCGATTGGAATATTATTATTATTATGATCTTATAATGGAAATATGTTATTCGCCATGAACAAAGACCACGAAAAAACACATACGCCTGTTCTAAAAAAAAAACCTCATATTACCTATATGACAGTTTTTCCAATATTTTTTTATATATAACGCGAGTTTTAATGGACTGTCTATATTATAGCCTTATAGAGAGACACGACACAAAATTCTACTTAACCAATTTAATTGGGAAAAAAATAAAAATATATATCTGGTAACGATATTTCACCTTGAAATAATATTTTGTTCGTTTTTTAATTAATTTTTTTTCCCATTCCTTTATTTTTAACGAATATTTATTTATTTATTTTATTGTTTTTATGTCATGACAGGCACTGGTTCAAATAGGTACAGTTAATAAGATACATATCTTGACTTTTAAACTAGGTGTTACAGTAGAAACTAAAACTAGACACTAATAACTGGTGATAGGAGAAAGGTGTGGTATAGATTAAGCTGAGTTTTGGAAGAATGACATTCTATGAATTGGGTGATTATACCATTTTTCGATTTTCCCAAGAGTTTTCCCAGCAAATGTAAAAAACCGGGAAAAAACACGGGAAAAATCAGTGAAATATTATACAAATATTATTATAGAAAATAAATAACGCCTATTTAATTGTTTTACCATAGTATGACATATATATTATATATTGCCGACAAAACATCACTATCCACTGAACTGTGCTCAGAATTGTTTTTTTGATAGCAATGGTTTATCGTTGCTTATAGATATACATTATATTACCTATAACAGTGGCTGCGCCCATTTCCATTATCCTAAGATGTATTTTTCATTGTGAAAATATAAATGGAAATTAACATTTCTTATTACTTGTGTTTAAAGAAGTAAAATGTTTTTTTTTTTTTTCATTTGTTATTTTGTTCTTAAATAATTTTAATAAAATTCTATTTATATTCTATTATTATAACAATATATTTACAAAGAAATAAAAAATGTTTAAAAAATAATTTTTTCTAAACGGTTTTTTTTTTTTAAAAAAATTTTGCAAACCTTCACATCGTGTAAGTAATAAAATTAGTGACCAGCGAATTAAAAACCATCGTCGAGTATTCACGGCTGTGGAGAGGGGAAAGGGCGATAGTTAAATTTCAGGGTCGTGAATGCTCAGTGACGGCGAATACTGAGTATAATATTATCTTGTACACAATAATATTCTAATAAACGTGTTCCCGCGGTATACCTATTACCGTTATAATGTCGTAATCTTATCGGTTCCGTCGACAATAATATAAAATTTTATATGGGAGATAAATTATTATAGTTATACGCGCGTGTTAAGTTCGGTGTTTTTTTTTTTTTTTATTATTATTTGTGTTTTTCATTAAAGTACGAGGTTTTCCGTTTTTAATGAGTTAAATCCCAAGAACATACGGGTACAATATTCTGAAAGTAGTAGTAATAGTAGTAGTAGTAGTAGTATTGGTTATAGGAGCACAAGTACAACAACGATAATAATATAATATTATATCGTCGCGTGGAGAATGTGAATAATATAATAATACTTTCCTGGTACCCGGTATATTACGGTCGTGATGCAGTAAAATAGCGTGTCTCCTAATAACACCGTATAGCTGCGTTTAATACAATTATTATTATTTTGCAATATCCCGTCGCAATGTCGTATGCATATTATTATTATTATTATTATTATGTTATTACATTTTCATTAAGAAAACGAAACGAAATAAATTGCGTGATATTATACGCGTTGGTGCCCATGTTGAGATGCATTTTTTTTTTTTTTTTTTGTGCAAGACACACTTACGAGCTACGACAGTTCCTCGGAGAAATAATAATTGCCGCGTTTCGCGTGTGTTTTATTAACGAATTTAACAGGGACGTGCTTATACGTCTACCAGCTATAATACGTGTATAGTAGTGAGTAGTCGCTATACCGAAAATAATGTTTTACGACTTGGGTACACTTAGTAATACAATATTATACTGCCGTTGGCGACGGAAACGCGACTAATATACGCGTTATAGGCGCTGTTTTATTCACCTATCCGTAGACAATTATCCAGGCGGGTATATTTTTTTTTTTTTTTTTTTTTTTTTTTTTTTGTTTTTCATCTTACATCTAGATAAATGAGAAACAATGTTAAGACATCTGGGGTCAACAACCAAATCGTCAAGACAAATTTATGTTTAGATAAATCCGATAATCCGGTGGATTGAAATCGCTACCTTCAGTGCAATGCAGTTATACATTTTTAAAAACAGAAATTCCCTACAGTTATTATCGCTACTTTTTTTTTTTATAAATGTAAAACGCCACTTTTTTTACTTGAAAAAGGGAACTTTTTATGTTTTGTCACTTGTAACTTCGGAGCTCGTGGGCAGTCTGTAAATTACAAATATTATTTTACTATACACTTAAAATATAAATATAACGTCACTACAAATTATTTAATATTTCGTTAAAAATGAAAGTTTTCGCGTGGTTTTCCTATGGAAAATTTAATATCACTGTTTAACAAAATAAAGCAATGCGCTATTAGTATCGCTACAAAAAAAGGTAGCAGCGCGCTACCTTTTTTTTCCAGTCATTGTTTACAATAGGTATACATTTTAAATAATAGTAAAAATAATCAATTTATATAAACACGGATAGATAAAATGAATATCATCGAGTATATCAGTGATTGATGCACTCGATATAACCTTTTTGATATTTTAGTTGCATACTAAATCCGGTCCAATTTATCTACATGTTTTAGCACTTAGTTATACGATATGAAATGGATGATATATTTTTTCATCATTTTCGTCTAGATAAATATTCTAGCAATTATCGTGTATCATATTTTTAAATTTATCTTCACACTAAACTGGATGTGCGAGTTTCCGTAAAAAAAAGAGATTAAGACTAATATTATGATAAATATAAATAAATGTATCCAGAATTAATAGAACAGTAATTTATCTATTTTTGATATTTTTTTCTATCTTTTGTCGTATCTATAGTAATGAAAATGTCGATATCCTGGTAATTAATCTGAGCGTTATCTAAAATAAAACATAATTATTATCTTTTTAGTAATTATATATATATATTTATAAATAGACAAAGTATAAAAAAAAACCTCATATAATAGAAAATGTTAAATAACAACTATATCTGTTCTGTATAAGTTTTACTTTTATTTGAAAACTCGAAATTTAACAAGATCAAATATATCTGTCTGCGTCTCAACACTGCAGGCACCAACACACACGAACATTAATAAACCTTTTATTTACAACTATATTTTCATTTAGACACAATATTATGTGGAATGAAAACCCGAATGGGTTTGTAATAAATATTTTATCGTCTTAAATAAATAAATATGTATAAAACGTAAGGTTTTTTTTCCTCTAAATAAACTTTCAAACAAATTCTTAAGGTATGTATTTAAAATTGCGATTTGTAATAATAACAGTTCCCTTATGAATATACGTAATAATAAAGGTAGTGATAAATTTAAAAAAGGAAAAAAAACACAAACTGGGTATTCGACTCGTTTCGACGCTGGGTCAGATACCGGCGGACAAGTAATTTTTAATATTATTACCACGTCAAAAAAAAAAAAAAATTTGATCGGGATTAAAACAAAATTTCAAGTGTAGGTGTAGTTAGATGGTACTCGTCGTTTTTTTTCGGTTGTTCGATATTGTCCGGCCGTTGAACCGGTAAAGTCGAAAAACGACCTGGTCCGTAAAATGATTAATTACCTACCTATCTATAAAGTTTGCCGTCCGAAAAAAATATGTTTGTAGAGGGTGAAAAAAAAATACTCGTCGTGGTGCCGATAAATTCTCTCGCGGTCATCGGCCGATCGGCCGAATTGAAAATACCGTTTTCAAAAGTATTTTCGAATTTTTGATGCGGAAAAAAAAAACTATTCAAAAGCAACTTTCACGTTAAAATAACGCAGAGGTAGGTATCAAAAACAAATACCTACCATAATGTATGCGCGTAGCGCAAGTATAATTAACCAAGTGAATAGCCGAAATTATATTGTATTTCATTAAAATTCACCGTACACGTATATTCTATGGATCTTACGCACGATAATTAATCACGAATTCGTAGGTATTAAACAATAATATTGTTAATGTTGAATACCCGACTTCTCGAGTTTTCTCAAGTCGAGTCAAAGTATTAAAAATATATAATTTTTTTAGCACTCGCAAATGCTATAGATATCAATACGAGGTATTCAATATTAAAATGATTTTGACATTAGTATCCCTCATCCAACATAAAAAAAATTGCGGTGGTCCCTTATATGAGAAATCCTTGACGTAATCGACCTATGATAAGAAAACAATATTGTTATCATATTTTTTCGTCTATAATCGTAATAACTAGAATTTTGTCTTGAATGCTTTTAATTGAAATTTAAATATTTTGGATTTCAAAATTCATTCCAATCCTTAAATGTTTTATTATTATAATTATGAACTACTTATGAAAACGTTGTGTTAAATTATAAACTTTTTTAATAAAGCAAAAATTGTTTAGGCTTTAGTTTAAAAAGAACAATAAAATTATAAAATCAATAATTTATCATGGCCATAAATTGCTTAAAAAAAAGTCATTATATTTAAATTTAATTTGTATGGAAAATGGCCATACAAAACTTTGGTGAAAATTTAAATTACCTGTATCTACCTAATAGTTTTAAGATACATCAAATGCTGTCAAAAAAAAAAAATAATAATAATAATAATAATAATAATTAGGTTTGAATAAAAGTTACTATTTTTCGTTATTTTGTTTTTTTTTTTTTGTATTTCACGATGCTTGTAAAAATTACTGGAAATTTTTTTCATTTGATTCCTTAAAGTACTATCTACATTTACTCTCTTATACTAGGATATATTTAATACCATCAATCAGTCTTAATGACTTTTAAATATTGTATTTTATATTTAGTTAAATACTACTTCTTTTTTCTAAGGTGCCTATCCGCTTCGGATGTTGGCAACCATATTGGCAATTATGACTTTGTTCGTTGTAAGTAAAAAAACTTTCCCTTGAATTTTGTATTATTTTAATACTACTATATGCAATAAATACAATTAATTTCAAAACATTTTTCTACTGCAACACTTAAAATTTTTCATTTGCTGAAAATCTATTGAACGTTAATTCGGGATTATTTTTACTTATTTTATTGCAATTACAATATGAATAAGTCACATGAAAGACATATTATGTAAGGAAATACAAAGAAAAAATAACACAAATAAATAATCAGAAAATGTACAGAATAATAGGTATATATTTGCCAATTAAACAAACCATTTTCTTCGTGGTTTATAAAAATTATGTAACCAAATAACGGGTGGGGGTGTGTTTTTCGACAAATTTTAACACAAAAAGAAACAGATTGAAATCGGCCTTACCAATCTTTAACCCTTTAAATCCCACCAACCAATCCAAAAATGTATGTATTTATCAATATACTCATGTCATAATATATGTATATACATGCAGTATATAGTACTAGTGAGTTAAAGAGACAAATACTTGCCTATTACGATAATGATACGGTTGTAATGTATACAAAATACATAATGTATTCCAGAATGGAATATTTACCGATACAATATATTAATTTTTCCGGTGTTTTGGCCGGATTTTCTTTTCATATTTTTCATTTCTTATCAATTGTCGGAGAACGCTCCGGATCCCACCAAATAATACATACATCTAATATTTTATTTTACGTTTAGACAATTTAACAACCTCGATTTAGGTCCATAGTTTATTCCTCATACCTGTACATTTAAATCAGAAATAAATAGGTACATATCGTAATATTAGATTTAACGCCGTAAAATGTTTTAAGTAGGTAACTCATACGTTTTCGACGGAACAAATTGTATCTAGCTTTTTAATCGATCTGTCCCGTAATCTTATCTATAGTATTTGGTACTCGTAAACCCGAATACTCGACTGTTTTTTTAAAAAAAAAAAAATTGTAACAACTATAGACATGTAAGTACATAAAATTCTCAAATCCAGATATTACCAATACGATTATCGTATTGATGGTTTGAATGTACAAAAATAGATTATTATTTTAATATTAAATGATCACGGCATTTGTGTTTCATTAGGAGTTGGTCGATTAGTGTTGCTCGACAATTTTTTTTTTTTTTTTTGTACTCGCTTACTCGAGCATTCAACTCGACTCGAAAAAATAAATGCTCGATTCAATTTAAAAAAAAAAAAAAAAAACAACAACAAAACTCGCAAAACTATTGTTATTAAATAATAATTCATAATAACGTTTTGTTTAAAAATGTTACGGATTTTTTATTTGTATTTACTACAGACGTTAGAAGTGATAAGTGTATAATATGGATTTTACATTATATAGGCATTCGTTTGTAACATGTGAACCGTTCCGTGGGAGAGTTACAGTTGCCATAAAAATGATACCTAATGGGCCAGGGGGTCGATTCTTGAACTCACTCGACATGCAAGCGAAAACTAATACAGTATATAACTATATACGACGATATTGTCGTTACCGTTTTCGACAGTTTAGTTGTAGTACACTACAACATAGGGCGGCCAATTTATCACGGATCGACGATTTTCTCAGAGAATTTTAAACGCAATTTTATATTTGAAATTAATATTATACACTTCGGGTTTTAAAAATTAGCAAACAGACTTATTTGAAGCACAAGTTCAAATAAATGATATTTTTCTAATTTTTAGATTCCGAACATAGCGAGAGAGCTTGTTGTATCTTGGTTCTAACAATGTTGTTTATCTCTTTCTCCTTTTTTTTTTTCTAATCAGTGGACGAGTTTTTCCCTAGTAAACTTGCTCCGATTTGTACGTATAAACATTTTTCTAAAAGCTTAAGTTGTCTAGATTGTACTTCAACACTATCATTTTTTGATTTTCGACATAATTTTTTAAATAAAAGCATTTAAGTGGGAAAAAAACGTAGGAAAATGTACAATTTCACGATTTCATTATTTTATGTTAACACGGACGACGGTTTCTACCAGAAAAAATGATTTAATCGAAAAATCACAAAACACTTTTTTGGTTTATTTTTTGATTTGCTTTCTTACAGTGTCATTGCCAACACTTTTGAGGTTTTTAGGAACTTTAATTCTCGGGATTTTTTTGCTGTTTTTCTGTTATACATTTACCTAGAGATTTGAAACTAGGTAAAAATACTTATGTTGGACTTACCTGAACGTGGTAAAATTTCCAAAAATACCGTACGACTTCTTTTCCTTTAAACATTTTTTTATAATGGTACTTTATTTTTTTTTTTTTACACAGTAGATCACTTTTATTCTAGAAAACTTGATTCGATGTATAAGTATAGCACCTTTTCTAAAAGTAAATTTTATTCAATTGGTAAAAACATAGGTCATTTTTTGATTATCGAAATAGTAATTCTAATAAAAACAACTAACTGAGAAAAAAAGTACGATTTTTTCACAATTTCGTTATTTTAAATAATTACCTACCACGTTTTCTAGCACAAATATGGCTCTAATTGAAAAACGACAAGAGACCTATTTTGTTGAATTATTATCATCTATTAATCTTGTTTTTAATAACGCAGTTCTTTTTTTTTCAATTTACTAATAAATTTTCATAATAATCGGAAAAAAACGTAGGAAGGTTAGGTTAAAAAAAATTACGGCACTTCTAATTATGTTTTACCAAACTGCGCTCGAAATCGTCTTTGTCAGCAATGGTTCATCGTTGCTTACAGATATAAATGAAATAACCTTATGTATCCTATCTCCCCAACTTCTCATATATAACAGTGGCTGTTCCCATCCCCAATATTAGTTGTTTTTGAAATTTTGATAGGAATAACACTAATATCGGGTTTACCGTTTATTATGAGTTATAAGTGTTTAAATTATTTTACTTTTTTAAAAAAAATAAAATGTATGTTAATCATAGAACGTTTATTTTGATAAATTGGAGTCGTTAAAGGGAGGAATTTTAAACCCCTGTACCATTTTTGCTTTTTACATATTTTTTAAAAAATTGTTTGCCATTTTTAAACGCTGTTTTGTGGATTTTAAGTGCATTTAAATCCGAGCCCTAGTGATGACCATAGTTAGCGATCTCTAGTGCATATAATTATTACTATGATTATTATTATTATTATAAATTACTAATTATTTAAAGGTTGAAAATAATAATACAATGTAATTGATCAAGAATAATAGTGGTAACCTTAATGAAATATAACGTTATCACGGTACTACGATAAAATGTAAATAAATCACCAGAGTAATAAAAGATAAATGAAAGTCATGTTTATGAACGCCCAGACGTTTGACTTATGATTCTTTATTAACTATGGATCAGGTGCAACATTTCATTTTTGGTAATCGTTCTATCCCAAAATTTCATAGTACCAAAATTTCGAATTACGGTTCTTACATTGTGCACCATTGCCACCCAGCCACCTGACTTTTCTGTCTCAAAATGTGACTTACTCCACCCGACGTGATATTTTCCATTTCCCTCTTCATGTATTTCTATCGGGCGTGATTTTTCAAAGACTACTGGCATTAAGTTTTAAGTGTCAATTTTCTAATTTTTCGACGTTTACTTGACGAGTTCTCTTAATATATTTTTGATAACTAAGTTCTCATTTACCCAACAATTTTTAAATATACCGTTGAAAAATTAAGTAATTTTTTGTCATGAATATATATTCATTTTTCTGAGTATGTTAAAAAAATATAGTCAATGTCGCTTACTGCCGAACGAAATGTATTCGCTCTTAAAGTGCAATGAATCATTTTATAATACCAGTACATTACTTTCGTAAATACGTTTATTAGTCATTTTATCTGTTTATTTAAATATGTAAAATATATACTGTTATTTCACGTCGTAAAAATTGGATTTTCATTCGGATACAAATTATAAAATATTATGTTTGTTTGTCGGATCGAAATGAAATACACGATTAACACAATATGTTAAGTAATGCAAATTATTCATACACTTTGAAGAACTGTATTTATGCCAGTTTGGTGTTTGACGTAAAACGACTACTACACTATTATATTATAACCACTGCAACGTACGTTCATACTTGAACTTGTCACCATAATTTTCGACCGTTAAAAATATCAAAATCGTAATTTCGATCGTTGTAAGTTGTATTCGCTGCGGCTGTCATTACTAAAACGTTCATGAGTCAATTAATTTTGTTTCAACATCGGTCAAAATATTATAACTGATATTATAAAATACAAGTTCAAATTACGGTGACTAAAAATATAAACAGTCGTGTCGGCGAAATATCGTTAATTCTACACATAATGTGAAGTAGCATAATTCTAAATTAGTTCTGAAGGCGGTATATTATTTCTAAAATCACGTTACTTCGCATATGCCAGTAAAGAGGGGCGTAGATAATTATGCGATTTTTTTTTTTTATTAATATTTTACTGATTATCATTATAAATAGTTTTATATTAAAAAAAAAAAATCAAGCATTATGGGGTTAAATTAAACATTTATTTAAAAAATAAATTGGACTTTTATATTTCACAGTAAATTGAAGAACTCAATACAATATTACAATATGATACATACTAATCTATAAATATACAAAAAAAAATAAAAAAAAAAAAAACAAAAAAGGAACCGGGCATCTATCCGGAAGCCCAGTATTTACGCTACTCCTTTGAATGAACAATAAAAAAAAAAACCGAGAAATAAACGATTTGATCAAAATGGCATTTACCGCGGTTATTGCATACTTTTTTTTATCCAAGTCTGGGGCACAGACGCAATGATAGGGGAAACGCGTATTGTTTTTGCTGACACGCCTGTTTATAATATATTCACGGCTGTGACGTTATTTTTATCTGTCTCATAAGACTATTTATAAGTCTCGGCTACAATAATTTTCAATCAGTGTCGGTGATATTATTATATCTGTGGAAAGCTTAATTTAATTTATTTTGTCTGGTTTCAGTTGTCAGGTTTATTTTGTGTACCATAAAATAGGAACAAAAACAAAATGCTAAACCGAAAATAAAAAAAGGTTCATCAGTAAGGCGTCATCAGTACGCGCGGGCGAAAACAATATTTCGTGGAAATGATTTTATTTTTATCCGTTTGAATATCCGCAATTGGAAGCGATATTGTGTTTTCCGGAAATACAAAACTACATGTTTAACAAACCTATTATTTTCATGTTAGTATGGGTTTTTTTTTTTTTTTTAACAATATCCATCCCTAAAATTACGCGTCGTCTCTTTTTAGGGAAAAAATAGTTTTCTTTTCTTTTTTTTTTTACGATTATACAGAACGACGAATTTAATGCAATGTTAAAACAACACGCTTAATCGTGTTTTTATTTAACTATTATCGTCTTTTTAATCGCGAGTTTCTAATCAAATGATACGAGCAATGACGCAGCACAGTATCGATATATACCTGATACAAGTATACCTATATATAGGGTACTAGATTATACATTGTATCCGAATACTTTTTTGGCATAACGTATTTGGTGGATTTTGATATTTAGTGCACAAATTTACATTCAAAAGTTGTATTTTGTTTTTCTATTTCAATATTTTTGCCGATAGTAATATTGTTCAGTAGTATACCAATATTCGATTATTCGAAATCGGCGTAAATATTGTTAGATAATTTTAAGCTAACTAGTTATTCAATTAATTCATTTACCGCATAGGTGAAAGTTCACGAAGCCAAATGAAGCTTTCTAGAAATAAATCGTTATTTAAAAATCAATATTTTCATTTACCCATATTCCATTTTCCTTTGGCCATTTTACCCATGAATATTTTTAATTTGACCAAGATTACTGCACGTTACTGGGTTTATCATGACATGTGAGTGTGTGTTTTTTTTTTTAATATCTGTAAACAACTTTTCTCCTTTTCAACTATAATATTACTCTGCTCAGAATTGTTCTTCGTTAGTTGATGTAAATTAAATAACTCTAATCTAATCCTCCCTTTGGACTACTATTCTGAAATGATGGTACAGCCATCAGCAATGTCATCTTTTTTTTTTCAGTAAGTTCCAAGTTCTATAAAAAAAAAATCGATTACGAATAAAATTATTTCTTTTTTATGTCTACCATTAGGAACGCAATATTAATAATATGTAACTGATCTATAAAGATAGCCATAATGTTCAAATTGTTGATATTTTAATGAATAACGGTTAACGGTTTCACCGTATGCAAACAAAATTTACATAGTTTTACTGAATTCTGTTCCCTACGTTTTTTTTTTTTTTTTTTAATTATTGTATAATCTTTAATTTTTTAACGCGCGGTAAAAAATAGTACAAAAAAAAAATCCAAACGAAATTCACCGCGAAACAAATTCTCGTAAAGTATAAAAAATTCGATAGTAATATTTTTAATGTTAGCCGTAAATTCCCGCATTGCGTATTACGCTTATTCGAAATATTATTCGGAATAATCATAATGTAAGACAACGAACGAAAAAATACATTGGCTTGTGTGAGCGATAAATCTATATATAATACTCGTAATATATACATTTATGATAAATAATACATAATATCCCGCGATTTGCGGTCCTACAGAGCTATTAAAAAAAAAAAAAAAAAAAAAAAAAAAAACGATATTAAAATTGTATTATTCGAACACTTTTATTTTTTTGTTATTTCGCATACGAATTACAATAGGTATTATAGATTATTTATTCGTAATTTATTCGCGTGCCTTTTCATTGGCATTCCGATGAAAGTTGTAAATGTGCATAACACCTATATTATAGCAACTGTGACGACTATATATTAGTTTACTCGGTCATAACTATAACGGATTTATAGAGAAAATAACGATTCGGAGCAAAATTCGGGTAAACATATTATGTTTTGACAAACATAAAAAAAATTAAAATTGTATTTATTATACTTGTGACTGCGAAATAAACTGTGGTAATAGGTATGAACATAATATTGAACAGAAGTCGTCAACATTTTCCAACTAGTGAGCAACATTCGAAATTTTAAGTCTCGACTTAACTACTAAGATGATCGACATCTATTTATTTAGATTTTGGGCACATTATTGATACTTTTAAATACATTCAGTATAGATTAGGTGTGCACTGCACATAATGTATATGCCTATATTTATTTAAAGTTAATTTTAATCTGTAAACATTTTTTTTATATTTTATTGGATATTTGACGTGGATTCTCTACAAGTTTTTGAGGATTCTGCCGGATAATTAGAAACAGCCGCTCGTAAATTCAAATCCAATTTTCCGTTTGTCATTCTTGAACGATATTTGTTCTTCGAGTATGAAATACTCGAAAATGTTCACTCGCGTAGCATATTTGAACTGAAAAATGAAGTTATACGATATGTGTCTCGTAAATTTGAGTATTTTTGCGTACTTGTATGCTTCGAAAATTCCGAGGTATCATATGTGCTTAAGATTACAAAAATAATATTTTACTATCCGATTATTCACAAGTCGATCGACCGCTAGTCATAACATTCATTTTTATTACGATTGCCTTAAACCTAACCTATTTAAAATAACTTTAAATTACTATATGAAAAAAAACCGCCAGTATGAAAAATATATGTCCGGTGTTATTAAAAATAACAGAAACCGGTATTGTGTAAATTTTTTTTTTTTTTTATTACAATTTACTCGATTTGTCCCATTATAATTGTTAAAAAAACTACAGAGAAAATCAAACACTGTGCTTCTTCAGCACGCCTACTAAACGCGATTTGCTCTCAGAAAAAATGCTACAACTACGCTATAATCGGAGAAAGATTTTTGGTATTTTCAAAATTATATTTTACAGAGAGAAAAAAAAATAAAAATTTTCACATCATATTACATAGTAAAACCATTAAACATTCCTCGGTACGTATACAGAAACTTATCAAAATTCTCGAAATATTCAAAGAGTTGTTTTTTAAAATAAAAATTGTATAATATATTTTATATAATATCCTTGCTTATTCCACAACAGCATTGATCTCAAAATATGTTAAAAAATTCTCGGTGTAAATAAAACGAGTGTTTCCGAAAAAATGGCCGCGATTACACGTCCATAAACCTCGAAAATAATAATAATACGCGCATATTTCGTTTAAAAAAAGTAGAATTTTGAACCACTCTTAACATTTTTTCCTGTGCACAAGAAAAATCGTCCATGAAAAAGCATCAAAAATCTTCAAAAAAAAAAGCGTGCGAAAAATGTGTAACAAGCAAAAATGCTAAGAGGGGTTTAAAACTGTTTTAATCGAAATCATACGTATTATAGAAAATAAAAACTTGTGCAAATATTTTATGTGGCGTTAGAAATTAGTATTAGAAGCCGTTAAATAATGGTGTACGTTTATTCTACCATTTTAACTTTTTTCAGTATTTTTATGCGGATTTTTTTTTTCGTGAATTTATTCGAATTTTCAAGCGTTTTTTTGCGAATTTTAAGCACATTTAAATCCGGTATCTTGTTACATAAACAACGGTGGTGATTCGAAACTAGTGCAGGTATTAATATTATTTGAACTTTCGTCGCAAGCGTTTATCGGCCCTGCGTGAGTGCATATTGCTCGTATACGAAAACGAGCGTTTTACAACGAATAGCTCGGGACTCGCGCTGGGATCAAAGTTTAACGAGTTCACGAAATACTTTTGTACTAATGTATTGTCATATTTTATTCACTAGAAACGGCATATAATCCCCGGTCGGGCGTTTCGCAAACCGAACAAATAGATATAAAAACAACGATAACTGCAGTACCTAATATTATTAGCTATACCTGTAGTACGGCTGGGAATGTTATTGGCCCATGCATGACTCCTGACAAATTTATCAGATGAAATACGTACGTATCAAAATTAATAATGTTCAAATTTCAATTCGGGAAACCCTAAACAATTAGTGAAAAAATAAATGAAGAAAATGACTTAAAAATCAAAAATTACATTATGTAACTTCATATTCGAATTCGAAAATACGGGAAAAATTTTTTTTTTTTTTAAACAAGCATCGCTTTTTGATAAAACAAGTCAAAATGAATGGAAATCGCGAGTCGGCTGATACCGTGGATGTCAGAATATCGGAATCAGGGGGGGGGCGAGGAATATATTGCTTTACAATGATGTTGATTCTTTATTTTTTTGTGAACACATTCTACCAGAAAGCTTACTCCGATTATCAAGGATAACACTTTTCCGAAAGGAAATATTCCCTGGGTGATACTTTAAAGAGGTTATTTTTTGAAATTATCATTAATATTTCAAATGAGGGAATCCTGGTTCTTTAGGTTGAAAAAAATAAAAGATTAAAAATAAGGATGACAACCGTTTTTATTTAGTTTTGGTTATTATTAAGCTTTTATTATTTTAAATCTTTTTTAAATAACCATTGTTGTCATGGAAACGCACATTGTTATAATTATTTTACCATAATATAGCATAATATATGTATTGATGACAAAGCAAAACTATTAACTGAACTTCGCTCAGAATCGTTTTTTCGTTAGCAATGGGTTTATCGTTGCTTACAGATATACAAGTTCCTACCTTCCAAACTTTCCATCTACAGCAGTGGCTTCACTCACGTGAAAAGTATGTTCGTCCTTTTTTTAACTTTTTATGAATTTTAAAACACAACTGTAAAATCGTAAGCTGAATTTCAAAAAATAAATGTTTTTTAATTTTTCAACTTTTCTCCTATACTCTATCTCAAACTAAAACACACTTAGGCTTACGCATCGCAATTGACGCCTGTCGAAACTCTTTTCCCAATTTTTCCCACACTATGTGGCCAATAGTAGACCGGTGACTGTAGCAGATGCGCGGAAATGAACAAAATCTAGAGTATAGGAATTTCGTTTTGAGTAGAAAAATTTCGGAAATTTCACTTGCATTAAATTCGATAGTGATTACCGAAACATTTTGGGGAGGAGAAAGTGGAATCGTATTGGCTCATCGCTAAAAATTGTCATCGCGATTGACGACGTTCGTATTAAAACAATGTTATACGCTACTCGTGAAACTTACTACGTTTTGGAACCAATAACAATAACGTATCTTTTGCGTCTCGATTTAACTACGCTTATGACGATTTCGGCGATTACGTTTTTCACGTAGGTACTTATTATACGAAACACAATATTACAATATAATTTGCGCTGCGTAGAATCCAAAACAGACGACGAAGCACGACTGTGTAAACATGACACAATGGCGATTAAATCCAACCGGAAAACAATGTTATTTCGGTATAAAGCTTTTATATTTGGTTTTTTTTTTTGTTTTTTTTTTTTTCCGTATTATATATCGTCTTATTATTATCATTTCGAGGACACGCGAAAAGAGCAAAAACCCGACCGTTTCTCTGGAAAAAAAAAATAATAATAATATAATTCTAGTCTACCGCGCGCGGGGTCAGCGAGCACCGGATGGGACCAAGAAGAAGGGGAGGGTGGTTCGCAAAAGAAAAGGGGGTAACTACGATGACAATAGAAAACTATTGTCACGCGACGTTTCGTCGTCATCGTCTTCGTCGTCTCGTGAGCGGTAAAAAAAAACTGAAAAACGAATCCGAAAAAAATAATAAAATAAACCTCTCGTACGGGATACAGCTTGCGGGTAGGTCACTTTTTTAGGGGCGGGGAATTTGGATTTATAGGATGGTTCGATTTACGTCTGTACCGTAACGAAAAATCTATCGAATCCGGTTGAATAACATGTTTTTTAACACCTCGATGTTTACGATTTACGTTAAAATTTGAACTCAAAACATTTATAAAAAAAATCTACCAAATTACACTCGATTACTTTTTACTATTAATAACAACTTAGCATTATAAAACGCGTGTTGAGTTTTCCAGCGTGTTTACTCGGTCAAAACAAATTTACCCGAATAAAAACTAAGAAAAAACTTTCAAATGGCTATTGTAAATAACTTAAAAATCGCAAAGATTTTTTGCACATTTTACTGAACTATTTTTGTACTGGAATCGAATTAGGGAAACAAAATCAAAAATAACATAAATCGTTTTCATAAATTTTTTCATCGTTTTACATAAATCGTAAATTATTATAAGAATACTAATACCTAACTTAAAAAAAAAAAAAAATACCCTCCATATACATCAAACTAGACAACCATAAAAGAGCCGGAATTAGGGTTTTAGGGGCCGTATGGCTCATATTAAATAGAGCCCCGCTAAATAGGCGTAAGTTTAGATTGAAATTTATTAGCGTATTATGGAAAACACGTATAACCGCTTAATAATGCAGGATAATAAAAATTACGTTATTCGGAGTCCCCCGTTTTGTAGATTTCTTGTCCCCTCTCCGAAAATCCGGTCCCGACTAGAAACCATCCCTGCGGTTACGATAATCAGACCGAGGTTTCCGATAGTGAAGTCGTTCACGACAAACGCATCGACAGTGAAACTAATTCGTTACGCTCAGAATCTGGAAAACCGCATCGCTCGTATTTGATATTATGCTCGTTATATATACACAAATATTATAATATTATAATAATATTCACTCACGGTACGAGGGAATCTGTAGGTCTTTGGTCGGCGATCGAGGAATAGTCTGCGCTACTTGTACTCGTGATGTTATGAACGCGAGAAGATTTTAGATGAACGCGTGCGAACCAGACGAGCGAAATGCGAATATTCGTAGAGGAGAGGAAAACAATTTTTTTTTTTTTTTTTGAAAAAAACCAAATCCGAGGTTCGCGGGTTTTTCTTTGTTTCTCGGGCGGACGGGGTTCACGGGTTCCCGCGGTAAGGTGCAAAATATTATATCGCGGCAACGGCGGCGGCGGCGGCGGAGCGATAGCCACGGAGCGAGAGACCGTAACGGCGCGGCGGTGGCGGTGGCGAACTCGACCTCGTGGACGGTCCCGATGAAACTGACGTACTATAACGCCGCCGTCGTTGTCGCCGCGGTCGTCGTAGTAGTCGGCGGTGCCGGCGACGGCGGCGCGACGAGCTTTACGACGTTCGCATGCGGTTTCGCGCGTCACCACGGACCGTTCCGAAACGGTTTTTCCGACGCGACCTACCGCACGCGAACCTTCCGCGATCGAGGGTAGAAAAGGGTTTTGTTTTATTTCGTATCTGTAAACCGCTTTTCTATCGGAAATCTCGCTCCGGTCGAAAACTCCGTGGGAACTTTCCGGTGCAAGATTTTCGATCTGGTTGAGATAATTTGTTCGATTTCCAATTGTCTCAATAAACGAAAAAAACGGACAGTTTTTGGTTTCGTTTTTAGTACATGTAGTTGTACGATTGTTGATTTGGTCGACACGGAGATTTATATTAAAATGTGATTATATGATTCGTAACGTTGGATAATACACGAATTTCAATGACAACAAACGTGGGATGAAAAATTGGAAGAGGATGATCGGAAAAGTGGTGGTCGGACTGAGAATGAAATGAAAACAGTCGGTATATGCAAGGTGGAAGATCTGGTCAAATGGAAATTTAGGATGATGGTGGCCAATCCCAAAATTGTTGGAATGAAGAAAAATATTATTATTGTTTAGCGAAATTCGTAGGAATTATTTTCATCATTTAGCATAACCACTCTTTATTTAAATACACATAAACATTGCATACTAGGTTACGAAATTCTTTCAAAATGCTATAATACGGAATCATATCTCATTGTTTACGACGCGTTGGGAAATTATTGTACGCTCGTAGAATGGGCTTTTTTTGTCGATTTCTAGGTTACCTCGTCAACAATAGAAAAATACGATTAATAATACTCTGCTCAGAATCGTTTATTGTTAGCAATGGCTTATTGTCGCGTACGGATATATTTTAAATTATTATGTATAGTATTATCCTCCCGTCCATTTTTTTTTCCTAAAATAGTGACACACCCATCAGCAGTATTAGCCTTTTTTGAAAACCTCATTGCCGCAATCTGTGTCTAACAATAATATTTAAATACAATATTGAATACAATGAAAAATACTTTGGATACTCAAATCGTTTGAACGAATCTCTCAAACGTTATTATATTTTGTGAACTCGTCTATAGCGTAGGAAACACTCAAATACTACAACTCGAGTGTTTCTGGCTATGCTTTTTTTTTTTTTTCGATTTTTCATTTTTCCGTAGTAGGTGTCATATTCAAACATTATACATATTACCAATACATCGGTGCAATGCCGTTAGAAGTGTTATACCGATATGCAAGACGACTAGGACTGAGTAGGACGCAGGTTAGGTATTGCAAACGAAAATCGGTTAGTGAATAATGAAAAACATATTGTTCGTGTATGCACTTGCACAGACCGAGTACAACACGTATTGTAGCCGGGAAATCTCCCGAATATTACGTCGGTTGATCCGTGTGCTAATAACCGATAGCGGATTTCGTACCGTAACCGCGGTTAATGTTTCAATGATTTATATTATGCCACCCAACAAATAAAGATGAAACCAAAGTGACGGGTCTTTAGATTTACCACTGATTTTTATTCGGTATGTTCACTCGTAACCATCACATACCGCAGGTACGGGTAGGATTATGAAAATCTATAATTAAACTGACATTTCAAAAACGACGGCCCTTTAAAACTTAATGGCTGGGCACACTTTTTGACTTAACGCGTTTTGCTGGATATAATTAATATCCCAAACGCTAAACTAATGGTTTTGCACCTCTAAAACTATTACCGTGAGTTCAAAGATAGACTGAGCTCACTGATGCGTAAAACTCATTAAGTACACGAAACATATATATATATATATATACCGAAAATTCGACTAAAAAATGTTCAGTTGAACGGACGAAAAAAATCCACTAAAGGAACAAGCGAAACCATATTATGCCGGTTTTAATTACACTTTTATTTAGAAAAAAACGTAGTATCTACGTAAAATTATTCAATGTACCTCTAATCGTAAAACAGACACATATTATGTTAGAGAATGATTGCCTTAATAAATATTAAGGCCTTTTTCCTTTACACCGTCGATATAAAATAACTTTTTTTTTTTTTAATATTTTGAACAATCAAACAAATGAACAAATAAATAATCACGTAAGAAAAAATATAGTATTTTATTTTGTTGGTTGTGTTTCGTTTACCTACGATTAATTTTGATTTTCAAAATCATCAAATGAACGATGTTGGCAAACGTAAAAAATTACAGAAAAAAAATCTGAATTTCAGACAAAAAATGAAAACACTACATCAAAGCCGATACATTCCGTGCTGAAAACTATAGCGGCTTTTATTTTCGAAAAGTTGGAAGTGTCAACTCATCGTCGTTAATCGAAATAATTTGTTTTTAATCAATAACCAGTAATTTATTTATTTTTTTCAAGTAACGGTTTCGTAACCAAAACCGAATTTCTGTTGTTTTTTTTGCCCCTCGCGTTGAATCATAAAATTGTAAAGGTAATATTATTTTATTTTGCTTTTTTTTTTCTATTATAAATTTTCATATTATTTCTTCGATTGTAGGGATTTTTATCGTAATAAATCTGTAATCAGATGTTTCTTTAAAATATAAATGTAAATTTCGCAAAAAACCTTAATAGTATATGTGTAATATATATCGGACACGGTAATTAGATGTTTTCATAAAAATGGATCACTATTTCAGTGGTCAGAAAAATAAGCAGGCCCGTCCCTCCGTAGCCCACTCACCGTACTATTTCCTGTTAATTCTGTGTCAATCCGTAATAATTATGTACTTACAATAAATAATAAAATAACAATTCATTTATAAAATATATATTTTATTACATTGTTGTCTTGTTATTTTTATTATGCCCACCTTAATTTTATCTTGGAGGAACTTTACGAGTGGTCATCGTTTCAAACACTCGATATTTAACCGTTACCACGACAAATTTAATGTCGAACCAATCTATGCAATAATTATAACTTAATTAATGATTTTATTTTCCTTAACTATTGTTGTACTCGGTGTTAAAATATTAAATGAACGTAGTAAAAAAACCTAGTAACTTTAATTTTGGTAATAATCAGGTTACCGAACTTATAGAACAAACGTCGTCTAGCTACCGGCGTTAACAAAGTTACAACAGTTTGCGACGCCATTTTGCTAAATAGATACACTAAATTTCTTATCACAATTTTTTATCACGAAACTACTGCATTTTTCTTGCGCAACTCAGCTAACACGGTTATCAGTGAACAAATGATAACAGAGCAACTCATTATTTTATTTTTTTTTAACCCGATATCAATATTAATATCATGTATAGCAACACCATCCGATTATTTTCACTCCCTCCCTTCCTCACTTTTACTCTTCCGACTTCATTGTACAACCATAAAAAAAATTTTTATAAGAGATATGATGTGATGTACCAGTGAAATCTGTTCTGTTTTTGTCGTTATGGTAACCCTTTTTTTTATTTTCGGTAACGTCAAATCGATGTTGGCCAGGGCCAGAAAAACACAAACTGCATTCAGCTTTAAAACATAATAACGTGTTAGACTGTTGAATTTATAAATAACCGGTTACTGCAGGTAAGAATTATACCAAAAACGAACGTAAGTGATTAGTTATTCTCAAAAATATTTCGGTTCCTATCAGGACCGATAACTGATAATTATTTTGGTAGCGGTTTTAAGCTTCGGTTACACCCTATAACTCTTACAACTCTAGCCTTATGTTATCACCGCAAATCATGGGTACACTACCCAGTAATATAGGTACACGGCAATAATTCCCCAGGTCAATCGTCAATACGGCACGTAAGTAGTCCGACGAAACGCCTTAATATTTCGTCCCGGCGAAATCATCATTGTACGCCTAATATTTTAATCGCGTCATCCTTTCCGGCGGAAACTAAACTAGATCGTTTGTACGGTGGCTACCCGCGCCGTGCAAACTTAAATATACAGACGGCGTTCGCGGTTCTAAACCTCGTACCCGAGAACGGGGGCTCGAGTCACAAGAAATTATATTCGTATACACCGACGACGGATTCCCCGAGTTGATTCGAATATCGATAATATACCTAATATTCCTGCATTTCGAGTGTGCTCGATTTCGTCGCGTTCCGTAATTTTCCCGCATTCCGTTCGGTGCAGGTCATCCATCGCCGTCAACGTGCCGAAGGGACCGGTGACGTGCGTAAGGGTGTGGTGGTTATTTGCATCCCCCNCGGTGCAGGTCATCCATCGCCGTCAACGTGCCGAAGGAACCGGTGACGTGCGTAAGGGTGTGGTGGTTATTTGCATCCCCCTCCCCCCTTAATGGCTTAAAAACTCAACATGACGGCAAATATAATGATAGTATTTACTAATATTTCATATTTTATCCTAGTCCCGAGAGGAAAACATTGATTAATTAAATGAAAATTTGCTTTTTTGGATCCCCGTTGTTGAGTTAAGTATGTTATGAGAAATTTCTAAGATTTATTCGTGATTTTTATTTTGAACAGCTCCTCCTGTTGAAAATTCTCTTGAAGGGACCATAGAACGTGACGTTCATATTTCCCAACCTAAAATATTCGCGATACATCGCGACACAGCGTTTGCAGTTTGAAGACCAACCGGACGGCTCAGAAACGGACCACCAGCCATCAAGGGGTTCGCAGAACGTAGTCGACGGAGAACGCCTGGAAATGAATCCCGTGGCCGATAACGTTAGCTAGCGGCCGTCTTGAGCGGTTTCCAGAAAAATAATGAGAAATATGAAAAACAGCAAAAGAACAATAAAAAAAAAGAAAGAGCTGATGGCACCGGGGT